GGAAACCCTTAGGGTCACAGTGTTCTTTGGGGGACAGGAATGGTGTCAGGCTGCTTTGCTCTGGGTTAGCGTTGAGATCTTGAGTCCCTCATTACCCTCCTGCTCCCTGTAAAGAACACTGAGAGACAGCTCGAACAGAGGGTCACAGTCGAAGGTTATGCTCCCATCCCGCCTTCTCAGCCACCACTCGATGACCACCTGCCCAGGCCGCGAATGGTCCTCGCCTCTAAAGCACAAGCACGCCCCAGTGCTCTTCTCTCGGGCCCTCTGCATTTGCACATAGTAGGGAGGAAGGCATTGTGTGTGATCTGCTTGGTCTTTGTAGGCATCCAGGCAGCTGCTTATCCGTATTAGTTCACTCTTCTCAACGCTCGAGAGCGCTTTCCTCGGTTTTCCAGCTCTTCAACTCAGCCTCCTTCAGTAAAAATTTGGCCTCAGAGTAGGGAATACACAAGAAGGAATATGCCTCTTCTGCTGCTGATCCCAGTTCACTCTGTTCTCTTTTCAGTCTAGCTTTCTAACACCAGGTTCATTTGTGGGCTCTGGGCTTTAACTTTGGGGCAGGCTGTGTCTGTCTGCTCCATAGATTCATAGCTATGTAAGATCATGGGAAATTGTCCCCGGAAAATGGAGACTGCAGACAGACTGCACAGCCACGGAGAGAGCAGTGGGCATCAGAACTTCCCAGCTGAGAAGAGCTTGTGCCATAGTCTCTCCTGCCACTGCAGGTGGAGTGGACATGGGTGCTCTGGTCCACCCCTCACTTACGCATTGTGGGCACCCAGCTGCCCAAGCCTCAGAGCCTTGTTTGTTGTGGGGTCCTTTTTGTGAGACTGGCATCGGTGGGGTCTGGTTTGTGCCATTAAACATTCCTCATTGTTGAGTGGGGCTTTGAATGATTTGCCTTTATAAGCTTCCAGCATTAACGTGGACAGACTGAGGGTCACACGGGAGTGTTTAAAACTCCCAGCTGCCCCATAAAACAGGAGCTCCTTGTTAAAGGAGCTGTGAGCAAAGGTGACTTCTTCACATGAGCTGACCACGCAGTCTCCCTTCAGCCTCATAAAACCACAACCGAGTTTAGGAGAGGAATATTTCAAATGACTCCCTGTGTTAACCTAATAAGCAGTAAACTAGGGACTTATAGTAGGAACTCCTGAGTATCCACAGAGCCTTTATTCTACATTTTGCAACCCAGGCCTCTAAGCCTGGCAGCCTCCAACGAGCTGCTTCAAAAAAGCCTGCAGTGGTGGCATGCCAGCTGTCACATGGGAAGCATTAAGGTGTATTAGTAGCTTCTGAAAGGAAATAGAAATGGGTAGGAGCTTGGGGTCAGAGGGGGTGTTGCCACAGTGTCAGTGGGGGAATTAATGTGAAGGCCCAGGAGGGCTCCCTTCTCCTGTACAGCAGGTTATAGAGAGAGTTGACTAATTGAAACATCCTTCCTGGCTTTTACCCACCTAGTTTACAGGTATTATGGGTGCCCATTGATGCCCAGAGTAGAAACCTAGGAGTGTCCTGTGCAGGTCAGTGTGCAACCCCAAGTATCATGGCATTGCTGAAAGCTTGGTTAGTAGCTCCCCGTGGAGCTCCACCTGCTTCTCTCTCTCTTCCAGCTAAGCCCTGCTGCAGGCCCCTGTCCCCTGCAATCACTGAAGTGACTCAGTCGGGCTTTCTCTTAAAGGAGTCAGAGCTACATGATGAAATGTCATCTTTGGTTCGCAGTGCTGTGCTGGTCTGTCGTGGAGGAAGCACTTCAAAGCCACAGCAGTGTTAAAGTCATGTTTGAATTTCTCCTTTGAGGACTCTAACCACTACTTCCTACTTCTGATTAATTGTTGTTAAGCTCTCTGCATGATTAGTGGCTGAGTAGATTAAGAACAGGCTTTTATTTGGTTTTGGTTTTGTGTTGTTTTATCCCCCAAATGAGTCAAGCTTTGGTAATGTTTATAATTGTTCTTGAAAGTAGAACATGTTCTAGAACACAAGATTGGAAGGCAGTTGTTAGAACTCTTGGATTTTTATGTGTGTTTCTTAGAGTTAGCTCCTTCTGCTTGGGCAAACAGTACTTTATCTTCTACATCAGAACAGTTTTATTCTCCTTCCAGGAGTTTACCCCAATGAAGGCCACCCCAAGAGTCCACTGAAGAGCATATAGGAAATATATAATTACATATCATGTAAGCTCTATACAGGCTTTCTGTTTTCCTAATGCTTCCCAAAACTATATTTGGATTCAAGGAATTAAGTAATGACACACTTACACCTAGTAGTTGTAATTATCCATACAGTTCACACCTCCCACTGTGAGTGGACCTGAGTCTAGTACCAGACTGATTGAGCCAAGAGGCATCGGGACCTACTTTGCAGTAAGCCCAGGATAGAGTTTAACCCTTTTGATTTGGTTTCATTCTTAGTGTAGAAAGCTCCATAGAGCTAACTAAAGGAAACTGTGAAGCTTTGGTTTCACTTTTTGGAGATGAAAAATATTTCTGAATTCTGCAGCAGACTAGCTTATGAAGAACATTCTGGTTTGTTGCTTTGCTTAGGACTAGTACAGGAAGCACCAGTGTGTCCTCCCATTAGATTCCCCCATCAGATCACCTGTCTACTCCTACAAGCAAAAGAGAGGGACATGGCACAGACTTCCACCTCTGGTTGCAGACCCTACAGGCTGGAGCCCGGATGCCCAAATAACCTATTCAGAAGAGTTTGGAGCTCACACTGGTGATCCCTAATGCTAGCTTAAGACTCAAGCCTACCTGTGGATAAGCATTGAACTGTGTCTCTAACAACTTCATACCCACTGTTCCATTCATTTCCCTGAAGACTGTGGAGGAGGTAGGATTTACCCTGCTTTATAGATAGTTCAAAACTCAGAAAAGGCGACTGGTTTGTAAGTGGCAGAATTAGACCTCCAGGAATCTATCTTCTGATTCCAAACCAAAGCTGCTGCACCCCTTGTTTATTCTTATCAGTCATACAATCACTGCAGATATTGCAGGGCCATCCTGATTCCCTATGGGAAAATCACCGCCCTTCCAGGGCCTCCATCTCCCCATTAAGGGGGATAAGTAAGGCAGGGCTGATCTTACCTTTCTCTCCCCWCAGACGAAGAGATACATGAGGCCAAAGGAGTGACAGGTTGGAAAGATTATTTGAAATGCACTTTGTAAACCTGGGCCATTTGTTACTTTCACAAATGTTAACATCTTTAGCTCATCAGATTTCTGAGCAGTTCCTTCTCAGTTTTATTGGAAGAAATGTGATGGAATTGGATTTTTAAAATAATATTTATAACAGCAATCTCTTACCATATTACCACATCAAACCCAAATCCTGGCCTGTCCCCAGACCACTGAATATTAATCCTACTCAAGTAGACAGTTTGTACTCAAGGCAATAAACCAGATCCTTGCTTGTTAAATCAGTCCAGATTCCCAAGTTGATATGTCTCATTTTTGGTGAAATCATTATTCTGTGGCTGTCCCCAGCCTGCTTCTTCACTCTCCCTGTTCCCCTTCTTCCACAGCTCAGGCTTGTGGTTGGTGCTGGGTTTAGTTGCACAAGTTCCTATTAGAACAAGGGTCTAAGCCCCGAAGCTCTCCTGCTTTGGGGGCCCCATGTGGCCTCCCTGATTAACCAGCTCCAGACATCAGGCCTTCCAGTGGCACTCCCTAGCTGTCCCCACATGGGTGCAGTCCTTTAGCTCCATGGGCCCCAAGTGGCCTGCAGGTGACATCAGCCAAACAGAGTATCCTAGGGACAAGCACTTCTTCACCAGAGGCCAGCCTGAGGAACTCACTGGTCCCTTTAGAGGCACTACGAAGATACCGGGCACTGTCGGAGAGCAGTTGGTGCAGTGCCAACTGCATGGGTTGGATGCCCAGCCTCTGTACCTAGAGTCTGACTTTTTCATTGATTTGGGTTCTTCCTATTTCTGAAGGCAACTGATGAGAAGTAAGAGTTAAAGGTTCAGAGGACTCTCATGTGGTTGTGCACTACAGTGGGGACAGTTTGGGATCCAGGATTTTAGATTTTTTTTTTTTTAAAGAAAGAGAGAGAGAATTTTTTATTTCTTTTTTTTTTTTTTTTTAGTTTTCGGTGGACACAACATCTTAGTATGTGGTGCTGAGGATCAAACCTGGGCCGCACACATGCCAGGCGAGTGCGCTACCGCTTGAGCCACATCCCCAGCCCAGGATTTTAGATTTTTAAAAAATGGACACGCGGGCTGGGGATGTGGCTCAAGCGGTAGCGCGCTCGCCTGGCATGCGTGCGGCCCGGGTTCGATCCTCAGCACCACATACCAACAAAGATGTTGTGTCCGCCGAGAACTAAAAAATAAATATTAAAATTCTCTCTCTCTCTCTCTCTCTCTCTCTCTCTCTCTCTCTCTACTCTCTCACTCTCTCTTTAAAAAAATAAAAATTAAAATTAAAAAAAAAAATGGACACGCAGGGAGCTGGGGTTGTGGCTCAGAGGTAGAGTGCTTACCTAGCATGCATAAGGCACTGGGTTCAATCCTCAGCACCACATAAAAACAAATAAAGATATTATGYCCACCTAAAACTAAAAAACAATTATTTTTTAAAAACATTGGATACGCAGGGTGAGGGTTGTAGCTCAGTGGTAGGGTGCGTGCCTAGCATGTGGAAGGCCCTGGGTTTCATCCCCAGCACTGCTACAACAAAAAAGATGTGTGCTGCCTGCTTGACAGCCTCTGAGAGGAAATCTGGCTGTGCTGGGTGACAGGGTCAGAGCCCCACGTGTTAGCATTCACTTTATTGCTCCTCAAAATTAGGGAGAACGGGTCAAAAAACTTTTCTCATATGAAGCCCTTCAAACCGAGCCTTCCAGATGGTGCTAGGTAATTGAGGCTTCCCTGCATCTGCCCTTCTGTATCCCTGCGTTCAGGTGAGTCATCTGCCCCCCAACAGCCCACGCCTCCTGCCTCAGACTCACCAAGTGTAACCCCCCTCTTCCTTTTGTTTCCTCAGCATTAATAATAAGCTACAGCAGCCCGAGGCAGCTGCCGGGGTGTTGGAATACGCCATGAAGCACTTTGGAGAGCTGGTGAGTGCCTCATTCCTTCTAGAAAAGCTAGAGGTAGAGAACTGGCAAGGGAGGCACTTGGCCAAGATGTTGAGAAAGTTACTTTCCGTTTTTTGTTCTTTCCCAATTTGTAACAGTATAACGCTGACTTGTCTGTATCTTAAAGACAATGGCCTTAGGGATTACATTCAAACCGAACATAAATGGTGAGGGTAGACTCTAATAAAAAATTGCTGATATTTATCAAGCTTAGTGTGTTACTCACCTTTTGCCAAGTGCTGTATGTACCTCATCTAATTTAGTCCTCAATGATGCAATGCAGTAGCTACTGTTCTTATCCATTTTCCAGAGGAAACCTTGATCCCAGTAGGCTAAGAACCTGTCTGAGCCAGGCACAGTGACACATATCTATAATCCCAGCTATTTGGGAAGCTGATGCAGGAGGATTGCAAGTTGGAGGCTAGTCTCAGCAGTTTAGTGAGACCCTCAGCAACTTAGGAAGACTCTGTCTCAAAATAAAAAAATAAAGGTCTGGAATGTTGCTCAGTAGTAAAGCATCCCTAGGTTCAATCCCCTGTACAAAAAAAAAAAAAAAAAAAAAATGAATCTATCTGAGCTGACAGCACAAACAGATGGCAGAACCAAGACTTGAACCCTGGTAGTCTGGACTCAAAGCCTGGCATTTAACCTGAGTTATTATGTCCCTGTGGCAGATGACATATGTCTGACCCACAGTGACCATTCTGTATACATTCTGGAAGAAAATATGGACAATTCTCCAGGCAAAATGCATTCTGTAATTTATGCCCAATGTTGAAGGATTATTTTATTCCATTATTGCTTACATAGCTGCTTCTCTGTGCCGTCTTTGCCCTACCAATACTAAACCATTTTCATTACTCTTAAGGGTCTGGAGAGGGTCCTTTGATAATCCAAAAAATATGTAAAGCATAACTTAATGAACTTAGTATTGAATTCCTGGAAGGCTGAGATGCTCTGGGTCCACATATTGATGAGGAGTCCTTTATGAGTCATGTAGGTCATTTGTGATGGCTTGCCTTAATCAAGAGCCACAGATTAGAATTAAGAAAATGAGTACCTCATAGCATTTTTGCCTCCTAGAAGGACTAGTAACTGGACTAAGACTTTTAAGGAGATCTTTTTCATCTCCAGCATGTACTATCTGTAACTGGACTAAGTTAGCATCTCTCCAGATGATGAAAAAATAGGAAGAACTGTCTGGTCCATCTTTGCCACAGTGCTCCTTTGCAGAGGGAAGAAGCAGGCCCAGGGGCGTTTATTGTCTCCACTAGACTACACTGTGCTCTGCCCTGACATCCTTAGAGCTTGGATTCCAGTGAGTACTGATTGACACAAGGGCTCCACACACATCTGGTGTTCAGGTGATCTGCTAAGAGACAGTTTGTACCCTGGTTCAGAATGCCAAGCTTCAATGAAAGTTCCTGCATCTTCAGGTTCTTAAGGTGACCATTAGCTCCAGGATTACTGCTAAACCACGGTGGATTTTCTGTTATATTTAGGGAGCTGAATCACATTAAGCTTGACAATGGTTTGCTTTTTCTTGGCAGAGCCTGTGCTTTCTCAGCACAATTTACGTAACAGCAATCTCATTAGAATTTTGTGTGATTCATTGCTTAAACCTTATAGTTTCTGCAATTCGTTGCAATTCAAAATATCCTGCCCCCTACTTGACCTGCTCCATATGCTGCCCCTGCTCCTTTCTGCTGGTTCACCGGGTACATGCCACGCATTGCTCACTGGCTCCTGGTATAGAAATCCAGCACGGGAAGCTCCTGCTCATCTAAGGGCTTCTCATTTTACACTGTCTCTGTAAGTCACTCTTGTAGATTTTGTCTTTCATGTGTAGGCGTAATGGGCATGATCTAGGCAGTCTTAGCAAATGAAGCTTAGTTTACCTAAAATGGGCATGGAGCCACAAACACCCATTCTGGCAACCCCGCTGGCAGTGGGGGAAGGCTGGCTGTGGCAGCCCCAACAGCTGGTACAGGGACCGCAGGTAAGACATTCATGCTGCCAAAACTAAGTAGGGGAAAGAGGTAGAAAGAAGTTAACGGTCTGCAGAAGCAATCTCCTTATTTTGTTTTTTTATTTGTTCTTTTTAGATATACATGACAGTAGAATGCATTTTGGCATACATGGAAGTATAAATTCCCATTCTTGCAATCATACATGATGTGGAGTTTCACTGGTTGTGTAACTCATATGTGAGCATAGGAAAGTTATGTCTGATTTATTCTACTATGACTTTTTTTTTTTTTTTTTTTTGGTACCAGGAATTGAACCCAGGGACACTTAACCACTAAGTCACCCTTCAGCCCTTTTTTATGTTGAGACAGGGTCTCACTGAGTTGCTTAGGTCCTCGCTAAGTTGCTGAGGCTGGCTCTGACTTGCGATTCTCTTGCCTCAGCCTTCTGAGCTGCTGGAATTACAGGCGTATGCCACTGCACCTGGCTGTACCTCCTTATTGACATTCAGGAAAAAGAGGTTCTTTCAGGCAGCTCAGAAGAGCGGCTGTCAGCGTACATACTACACAAATAGTTTTATTTAGAAAGGGAGGAAGAGCCAGCTACCATGGTACGTGCCTATAATCCCAGCAATTTGGGAGGCTGAGGCAGGAGGATCGCAAGTTCCAGGACAGCCTCAGCAACTTAGTGAAGCCCTAAGCAATTTAGTGAGATCCTGTCTCAAAAGGAGGTAGGGCCAGGTGCCAAGGCACCCACCTGTATACCCAGCAGCTCGGGAGGCTGACAGGAGGATCCGAGTTCAAAGCCAGCCTCAGCAACTTAGTGAGGCACTTAGCAACTTATCGAGACCTTGTCTCTAAATAAAATATATAAAGGGGGCTGGGGATATGGGTTAGTGATAAGCATCCCTGGATTCAGTCCCTGGTACCAAAAAAAGGAGATAGGAAGGGGAAGGGGATAATGGGAGAAAACTAATGTAGGTCCTGCATCATGTCGTACAGATTCCATTGCAGAATCATATTGTTATAGAACTCCCTAGAGGGCCACTACCCTGGTCTGATGGAGAAATAGTCATTTATTGAGCTGATGAAGAAGCCAGAGGACAGACAGAGGTGGAAGGCAGACGGAAGACACATAAGACCGTCTGGCCATGTGGCAAACCCTGGTCTCTAGTTTCAGGATTGCAGCACCCCTTACTCATGTGGGTGACACTCACCATTGGCGTGGCACACTCCATCTGCCAGCGTAATGGAATCACTTCCTTGGCTGCTGACACTAGTAAAGCTGCCAAGCGCTACACAGGAGGAACATTGGACGGGAGGTTGGAGAAGGCAAAGGTTTTCCAAAGAATTTTAAGTGGTAGTGTTCTATTGTATTTTAAATTATTATTTCCTGAAAGTTTAAATATGTATTAAGAATGCAGAGAATCCGGGACTTCTAAAAGGGAGTTGTTTGCCTCCAGCAAATAAGCAGATGTGTCCTGTTCTTCCTGGCTCATCAGGAAAGCAGCTTCCATCCCTGCCACGCAGCCCAGCATCAGTGTTCCGGCAGATTCTGGCCTTGGCACCTTTGCAGGAGCTCTGGTCAGGGACCTCACTGTTCCTGAATGATTTCCCCTGTCCTCGCATGTGTTTCCACATGCTGTGGTCTGGTGACCCCTGTGTCTGGGCAGGAAGTGCCAGGGGTGGAACAGGTGCTCTCAGATTGTCCCAGGGCCCAGGGTTGTTCCCCATCAGTGTGCCAAGCATCGGGCATTTCCATTCCACTAAACAACTTACCTCCAGGTGGGCAGAAGTTCTTTTCATTCCAAGTCCATGYGAGCTGTGAGAGGGAGGTTTGGGATCTAAACTGCCACTCCTTGTTCTCTGTGCCTCAAGCAACTCTCTATCTTAACCCGCAGGAGATCCAGGCCACCTGGTATGAGAAACTGCACGAGTGGGAGGATGCCCTTGTAGCCTATGATAAGAAGATGGACACCAACAAGGATGATCCCGAGCTCATGCTTGGCCGCATGCGCTGCCTCGAGGCCTTGGGCGAGTGGTGAGTTTCATGGGGATGGTGGCCTGATTGGCAGGCGGAGAGGCTGGTGATGAGTCTTCCCCCAGACAGTGGCAGAGTTCAGTCCCTAGTACTAAATAATAATAATAATAGTAATAATAAAGAAAGAAATAGTTAAAGCAAAATGATATGCTGCCATTTTTTAAAAATATTTTTAGTTTTAGATGGACACAATATTTTATTTATTTAATTCTATATGAGGGCTGGGGATGTGGCTCAACCAGTAGCGCGCTCGCCTGGCGTGCGTGAGGCCCAGGTTTGATCCTCAGCACCACATACAAACAAGATGTTGTGTCTGCTGAAAACTAAAAAATAAATATTAAAAAAAATAAAATAAAATTCTATATGGTACTGAGGATTGAACCCAGTGCCTCATGCGTACAAGGCAAACGTTCTACCACTGAGCCCCAGCCCCACATGCTGTCATTTTTAATAGCTCAGTTGTGGTTTTAAATGACTGAAACAAAATGCTGTGCTGCTGTAATGCCAGATTCATGGGACCCCACTAGACCTCCAGGAGCCGAATCCAATGCAATCACACAAGAGTCTTTATTGCAAGCTCGAGCCTGGACTCACAACCGTCCCAGGGAATGAGTCCCGGTCCTTTGTTCAGTGAAATTTTATAGGTTTTGGGGGATACTCTATGTGTCACAACATCACACAGCAAATCATTCCATACCACGGGAAAATCAAACACCATTCTTAACATTGATTAGCAAGCACATTCACTGGCGGGAACAAATTGGGTAAGGATGATTGGTTAGTACAAGAGAGGGATTCCTTTGACCTGATTGGTTTAATCCGTGAGGGGTGTACGGATTAAACCATAAACTACATGGTTTCCCAACATGTTATCAACCACCATAAACTACTGGGGGGTCATCTGGCATCCCAGGTATTTTCCCTGTCTCATGCTGATTGGTGGTTGCTAGGTAGTTGCAATGGGTCCTCACCTAACCTAACTGAGTCAGGGACACCTGGCACTGCAGGTCTCTCCTGTTATTTGCAGACAAACAACTCAGCAGGGTGGGTATGTGCCTAGAAAGGCTCTGTGGGTTTTTCCAAGGACAAGGGTCACGCCCCCCTTCCTTAGGATAGGCCATGAGGTAGAAGCTGCTGTTATTTATTTATATTCAAAAAGGGAGTCACATCAGTTTCTCATTGCTTCCCTAGTAGCAGGTTGTACCCACTGTCTCTTGAATGTGACACTGAGTGTGCCCACTTGTTCATTCAACCCACCATTAGTGAGTGCTCATTCATCACCAGTGTCTGCCTTGAGGACACAACAGGACCAAATCAGAGTCCTGCCTTCTAAGAGCTCACAGGGCAGGCAAAAGGGCGCTTGTAATGTATGAGGCTCGTTGGCCCTGCTGGAGTTGGGGCTTAAACCCAGGAGCTACTGGAAAGCTGCTCCTGTGTTTGGAGAGCATCATCATCAGGCTTCCATTATAAAAAGAGCAAATTAGAGAGTAGCCTGAAGGGAGGCCTGAGAGGAGAGAGCTACACCAGCTAAGAGAGCATCTGGGGAAGAGGTGAGGACAGTGGAGGTGAGTCACAGAGATGTAGTGTGGCCGGCCACACAGAGGAAAACAGTAACTACTCCAGATCTGATTAACAGTGGCCTCCTGATTCCATTTTAAGTGCTCTGAAACATTGCTACTCCATTTTGACATTTATTCCTTGACTGTATTATGAACTTATTAGGGAAGACAGAGGAAGGTCAGAGAGACCTTCATGATGCCTGTTTCTTAAAATATTTGCTATGCTAAGGAGTCATATTTTGGCATCCTGAACCCCCATCATAAGCACATACATTAACAATAATAGTGTATCTGTTATTATTTGTGCCTTGCTTTTATTACTTACCAATTCTTGGCCACTGTTCCAAAATGGAGCTACTACCTCATTTCTGATGGCTTCATAATATTCCATCATGTGGCTAAATCTAGTCTATTTAATATAGGCAAATTTTTATTTGTTTAGAAATTTGATACCTTGAAAAGTTTTTTAAATACTGTGAGCAAAATCAAAGTAAGGCTTCTAAAGGAGTGGTCTTTTCTGTACATAATTATACATATTATTTTGGTAACTTCATTATTGATTTTATTTCTCAATAGAAAGTTATTACTAATTCCCAAGATAGAAGGTGTTGTCATGTTTTGCATAAAATTTCAAAATAAATTTCAAAAATAAAAATTTCAGGGTTGGGGATGTGGCTCAAGCGGTAGCACACTCGCCTTGGCATGTGTGCGGCCCAGGATCGATCTTCAGCACCACATACAAAAAAAGATGTTGTGTCCGCCGAAAACTAAAAATATAAATATTAAAATTCTCTCTCTCTCTCTCTCAAATAAATTAATTAATTAATTAAATAAAATAAAAATTTCATATCTGGGTCTGAGGTTGTGGCTCAGTGGTAGAGCACTTGCCTAGCACGTGTGAGGCACTGGTTTCCATCCTGAGCACCATATAAAAAAATAAATAAATACAATAAAGGTATTATCCATCTACAACTTAAAAATTTTTTTCTAAAAATTTCATATCAGTGAATTTAGCCTTGGGCATTGAATCACATATAGATAGGTAAGTAGGTCGATAATATTGTAAAATTATCTCAACTCAGCTTAATTGTCTAATTTAATCATTATTAGGAAGATTCAAAAGTATCATTATTTATTTTCATAAATCAATATTCCATATTCATTCCCTTCAATAAACAGTGTACACTGGTGAAGCCCTATCAAATGAGCTTCACCAGTGTACACTGTTTACTATTTGCTGAAATCAATGGGTTTCTAAAGTCAYGCTGTCCACTGTGGCAGCCATTAGCCACATGTCATTATTTTAAGTTAAATAAAAATTAAAATGCAGCTCCTCAGTTGCACTGGCCATATTTCAGGTGTTCAGTGCTACCTCTGGCTAGTGTATGGTTCTGGGAGACAGGGACACAGGACACTTCCATCATCACAGAAAGCTTTCTGGACAGCACTGATCTGACGCAAAAGACAGGTGTAGTGAGGACTAGCCACTTGGTGCCAAAAACACTTTCTCCTATTTTCAAATCTGCATCACAGTCATATCTTGTTAAAAGAAGGATAAAGCAAGATGTAAGTATTCTTAAAACCCAGTTCTAATCAATTCCTGGTATGCCATAGTGTCTCCCTGTGACCTTTGGATTGACGTAAGTCTCACAGCCTGGTTTGCAGTCTTTCAGATTGTGGCTTCAGCTCAACCAGTTGCTCAGTGGACTCCATCTCATATCCAAGCTCAGGCTAAATCATTCACTCTCTTCCCTACCCTGCACCTATTTGTTCTTTTCCCTGGGTTGCTCTCCTCTTTTTCTTCTCCTTTTCCTTCCTTTTGGAGTCCTCTCCACAGTTTCTTCCTCCTGGAAACCTTTCTGAACCCTTTCTTCCACTCCCACTCCCTTTTGGAATTGGAGATGACCTGTCCCTTGCTAGACTAGGAAGAGATCACTTGGATGCATGGAAAGGATAAGATGTGATCTGTCAGTCCCCTTGTGTGTGGTTGAGGAAACGGAGGCTGACAGGAGGGAGAGACCTCGCCAGAGGTGTTCCAAGAGCACAGTGACACAGGTCTCCTGACGTYGCAGTTCTCAGTCCCGCATGCTTCTGCTCTCTTGGGCACTTTCCAATTTTCTAATTACCTATAAAGTGTAAGTGGCTGGTGATGCTGACCAAGGGATTTACAAATGTGGGAGATGGAGAGAGATTTAAAAAGAGGTGAAAGAAGCAGAATCCTTTCCCTGACCACGTGCAGATTTCAGATGTAGTTTGTCCAGTCGATTCTGTTTAGAGTGCAATTTCTAAATTTCTTTTGCTTTGAGCATATGTCCCGACCCTGCCTGAAGCAGGGTTCACTGGAAGTGGCAGCAGGAATGATCCAGAGTGGACCAGTGAGTTAAGACTTCCTGTGCTCATCTGCCTCCAGGAGACCCCCTGGCCCTGTGACCCCTGCAGTGCCAATGCAACCAAGATGAACCAAGTGAACCCCCTCCTCACGCTATTTAGATACAGCCTCTGGGTCTTTGAAAACAGATTCCTCTGGATTGAGATCCCTGGCTGCCGCCTCAAACAGGAGTTGCAAATGAAAGAACTTGCCAAGCTTCTGCCACCGCTCTAGGTGGGAAAGTCAGAGTCTTGGAAGGCGGCCCTGTGCTCTGTCCTCCCTGGTATKCAGCACGAGGGTCAGAACACCTATCCTAATTATTGCTCCACAATCTCATATTGTTGGTTTATTTGTTCCCCTCCCCACCCACCCTGGAGAGTTAGGGCTCAGTACATTCTGCATTCTCTTTTGTATCAAATGTTTGTGGGAGAAAGGGCCCTACATCGGTGTCTTCCTATATAAATGTCCAATGTGGGCTCTGATAGCTGCTCTCAGCCACATAGTGAAGGTAGCACCTATGATGCTGTCAGGAAGCTGCCCTTGCCCAGCTCTCTGGTGTGTCCCTTGGGGTAACAGCATGGACTTTGATCACTGAGCTTGCTTCCTACCTCTTCATGAGAAGAAAAGCTAGATCCCTAGACCCGTGTCACAGAAACCAGTGGCCCTGACAGAAGAGTAAAGGAAGCCTAACTTGCCCGTGTCCACCAGCCATAACCATTTGAATTTTAGACTTGGAAGTACCATTGAGATATAGAGCTTCCTCTTCTACCTCCATGAGACCCCAGGGATCTCCAGGCAGGTCCCAAAACAGACTGAACAAGTGAGCCGCTCCTCTCCTCTGAGCCAGTTGTTCTCAAACTGTGGCCTCTTGACCAGCAACTCAGCATCACAGAAAAGCTTTTTAGAAATGCACACCTGTAATACCACTTACCCAGGAGGCTGAGGCAGGGTGCTGGTAAATTCAAGGCCAGTCTAGGCAACTTAGCCAGACCCTATCTCAAAATAAAATAAAAGAGGCTAAGGGTGAGGCTCAAAGTGAGGGAGTACTTGTGTGGTGAACACAAGCCCTGGGTTCCATCCCCAGTACAGGAAAGAATGAAGGAAGTTCCTGTACTGGAAAGGGTTTTCACTTTTGTTCTGTATTGGGGTCTCTTAAGCACCATTTGTATCTTAATCTTAGAATCTTTACCCACACTCTTAGTAATTGTGAAAAATTCTGAGAGTAGGCAGTATCTAGATTTCTGGTAAACATGATCATCCCAGATCATTTCTTCTATACAGATTTTTTTCATTTGGGCTTCATCTCAGACTGAAACCATTTGTATAATGCTTTTAAGAGCCAGTTCTCCCTATAGCTTTAGCCCAAAATGAATATCCAGATGTGTCTCTTCAGATTGCTTTCTCTGAAGGCCTGCCAAAGGGAAAGAGCCCAGAGTTCACTGGCAAAGGAGAGGTTATTTAATATTTATGAAAGGGCCAGATGTTCAGGACATTTCACATCACAGACTTAGTACAGTCCCTATCCCTGATAAACTTACTCTCAAATTATGAGCACCAGGCCTTAGAAACCACAAAGAGCTATTCACTTCTCTATTATAGGGCCTAGTAGAATGTAGTTTCTATTGAAATGCTCCCAGCTCAAGGCTGGCCCCTCTTACTCCAGGTCCCTGTGGCCCCAGCTAATCCTCCGGGCTGGAGAGGAAGATTGGCGGGTTGTGGAGCAGTTTCAGTCACCCTGATGATGTGCTTCTTTTCCTTCAGGGGGCAGCTCCATCAGCAGTGCTGTGAAAAGTGGACTCTGGTTAATGATGAGACTCAAGCCAAGATGGCCCGGATGGCTGCTGCAGCTGCGTGGGGTTTAGGTGAGGCTTCCCCCCCAGGCCCCAGGCAAGGTGGGGAAAGGAAGCCAAGGTGCTATGGCTGCAGGTCTATGCAAGTGTTAGAGCAGTCTAAATTCTCTTGCTTCTGCATCCTCACTCTGTCCTTTCCATCTGGTGATTTTTACTCACTTTGGAGACCTGGGTAAAAACAGATCCTCGTGAGAGGTTGAGGAAAGTAAGTTAGTAAGCATCAGAACTGAGAAGCTGCAGGTGAGAAAACCATGCTTTGCATAGTCGCAGAACACTTCGGGCGCCAGTGTGCGAGGGTTTCCCCGCTCATTGAGAGCTTCTGCAGCAGAACCAGCCAGGTGTCCTGTAACCCAGTTCAGTTCTGACACGGTGTACATACACATAGCATCGGATCCTGCAGGTTAAGGACTCAGCCCCACTTCAAATGCCAGTCTCAGGTGCCCAGCTGTGGCTTGTGCGTCTAACTGACCTAATGTAAAGCAGAGTTCCCTCAGTCTTCTCCCCAGGTGCCTCACAGGACTCTGGGAAAGTCTTTGCTCTTCCCAAGGAGCTGCATGCACTGCTGCCCTCTAGCACACAGATGTGTTCACCAGCCCTTTGGGTCTCATTCTGCAATTGACTCCTGTTGCTCAGGAAATTCCAGGGTTTATGAAGCTCTGTGCTGAGAGACAGGGACAGAGGCCAAATACATTTCTTCTTATACCACAGTGGGATTTTGTTTTGTCTTCAACAAAATACTGGTTTGTTTTTCTCTCTTAGAAGTGAAATCTACAGGTAGGCATTCCCAGACTGGCATTTGAGCTCTGTCATCAACAGCCCTTTTCTGTATTTCTGCATTGCATGCTCTGCTACCTCATGGTCCAGTATGGCTGTTAGAGCACCACCCAAGATGTCTTTGCCCCAGACAGGAATAAAGGGAGAAGGCGTTTGTTTATCTCTTGTTTTTTTTTTTTTGTTTGTTTGTTTGTTTTTGTTTTTTGCCATTTATTCTAGAACTTTCCCAATATATATAGACATGGAGAGAAGGGTATAATGTTTGCCCTTTACCTTCTGCAACAATTACAAATATTTTGACTATTTTGTTTTCTTTGTTCTCCCTGCTACCTGACACTTGCCCACCTTATCCCTTCTCCTGAAGTATTATAATCCAGAAACCTCCTTTTAATTCCTACAGTTGTGTAGCTTCCTGATGCCAGGCCCCATCTGAGACAGTGCATGTTCCAGAGATGTTCTTGATGAGAAGGGAAAGTTTCCATAGAATGTGCCAGATGAAAGCTTGGAGTCTAGAGGCAGGTGACACATCCTCCACCTCCACTCTATCCTTCTTGAGTCACAGAGCTTATATTCTTTCCTGTCATGGGCTCTTGGCTGGATTGGAACATCTTTCAAAAACAAATTGCTTCCTGAGGAGTCATCCTTTGCTATTTGCATCTGCCCAGAGGCATCCAGAATGGACAAGCCTTGTAAAATGGGTAGCCCTGCAGCCTGAAGCTAATGAGGCTCCCTCTTTTCTGCAGATGGTCTTGGCAGTCCTGGACTTCATGAGAGCTCACCACCCCCCAGGGGAAGTGAATGCCTGGGCTTGGAGGCTGCCATCTCCCCAGTCTGACTTGACACAGACCACTACACTATGACCCTTTCTGTTAGAACAGCCTCTTAAAATATTTACCTCCTCCCTCCTGAGGCAAAGATACTGCCAGAGTGAAATGGGCAAACTATTTGTCTAGTCCTGTCCCCTRTCTTTATAATGGCCATTTTCAGTTACTTAGAGAAAAATATAATTTCCCAGTGTAGCATTGCCCTGCAAGGGGCATCACTAGTAGGGAAGGAAGCAATTTCATCTTGCCCAGAGAGCCTGCCAGAGTTCTCAGGTTAATGAGGTGCAGCCCACACACTTTCTCTGTCTTTCAGGAGTTCCCTGGGGCAGTAGTGGAATCCGGTTTTAAGACAGATGTAGCTGTGTTAAATCAACCTGCACAGCATATAGRGGGCCTCTGTAGGATTTGGGTGCATCGGGCTCAAGTTCATTTGGTTTTTTTTGCACCCCAAGCAAAAGGAAAGTAGGATGGCAAGGTTTATTTGAGACACCGCTTTTAGCCCAGCCTGCTAACCACCCTGATGCTTTCTTATGTGTGCACTAGGTCAGTGGGACAGCATGGAAGAGTACACCTGCATGATACCTCGGGACACCCATGATGGGGCGTTTTATAGAGCTGTGCTGGCACTCCATCAGGACCTCTTCTCCTTGGCACAACAGGTGAAAATCTACACGTCCTCRCACCTTCCAGCAGAGCAAAGGCTATCCCACAGTACTCTTGGGCACAGGCACCAGTATAAACAGACTCATGTACTTTAGCTCGAGAGCACGCTTGTCTCTGGGTCATAATGCACAGAGTTTACTGAGAAGATGCCAGCACATCAGCTGGGGCTTTTGTCTGTTCTGCCGTGGCTTTGGGAGTTAGCTTCTTGGATCATTRATGCACCTTTTTATCAACTAGACTTAGCACTCCTTATAGTAGAGAGAAGGTGTTTCACCAAAGGAAGAATCAGAGAGCCAGCAATCTCCATAGTAGCAGAGGCCGTCACGAGAGTCTTCTGGCCATGCAGGGTGGTGCTCCTTGAATGCCTTCCAGGGAAGCAATCATATCTGCCCTGTGAGGCTCCAGACTTTCTTATACAAGATGCTCAGGTATCTGAGTACTTCAGGGACAGGGATGCCATTTAGCCCTACACATTCAAAAAGGTAATAGCTCCACAGGAGGTTTTAATTGGCAGCACAGGAAATTTCAAACTGCAGTCCTGTGGCATCCCCAGGCTGATGTGTGTGACAGGAGTCCAGACTTAGGTCTTCTAAGAGGCCGCATTCCCTGGAGGGAATGAGGACGGGAAGTTTGAAGCCAGAGGTGACCAGCTGGAGCTGGGCAGTGTGCTGAGTGGTTCACAGGCATGCCCCGCAAGGGAAGATGAAAGAAGCCAGGTCCCAGACGTCCTCATGCGATGCAAGAACACAGCGATTCTGCTTCACAGTACATCTGCCATCGCCCTCACTGCCCAAGACTTGAATGTTTCCTTAGAGTTTAAGGTTTGGGACACCATGCATTTCTACCCTCTAAGCCATTCAGATCTAGGAAGAGGTCACTTCCCTTCTCTGGTAAATTGTTATCTTCATGACTAACATTTAAGGAAGTTGCAGCTAGCTGGAAAGTCCTAAAAGAATTATAAGTGCCCAAGTCGAGAGCCCAGTGCCAGTGTTCTTTGTTTTTTTCCTAGTGCATTGACAAGGCCCGGGACCTGCTGGATGCTGAGCTAACTGCCATGGCAGGAGAGAGTTATAGTCGGGCCTATGGGGTGAGTGGTGGACACTCCACGCTTTGTCATTTTGGAAGCTTATCTAAGCTCTGTTTTCAGAGTGAACTAGTAAAGATGTCACAGGCTACTGGGAACAAGCTTGTATGCCCTGGTCGGCGGAAACCCAGATGCCAGGGCTGTTACGTTAACCCCAACTCTGGATTGCTCCTTCAGTAATTAGGTTGGAATGTGCTTTGCTTTCATCAGGCCATGGTTTCTTGCCACATGCTCTCTGAGCTGGAGGAGGTTATCCAGTACAAACTTGTCCCTGAGCGACGAGAGATCATCCGCCAGATCTGGTGGGAGAGACTGCAGGTGAGCCTGGAGATGCCCCAGTTCACCCTCCTGCCCCACTGAGGGCTCTTGGGGGCCCTTGTGCCCCACACCTCCTGTGCTCACTCCATGAGTTTTCCTGCCTCCTATGCTGAGCAGAGCACTCAAGGCTCTTCACCTAAATGTCAGCTGTGGGAGAATGACCAGTTTTCCAGCCTCCTCCAACTTCTCTAGGAATCAAAGAAAACATCCTTAATAAGTGACACTCTGAGCAACCAGCTGGGAATCAGAACCTCAAAATCAATGGTTCTTAACCTTTGCTGCACAGTGTGATCACTAGGAGAGCTTTTAAAAATCCTGATGCCAAGCCCATGAAGTCACCATTTCTGGGTGTCTTTAGCTCCCAGATGGCCCCCTGCAGCCAAAGCTGAGAATCAGTATCTAAACACATGTACTGGCCCCCAGCATCTGGCAGCTTTTTTTTTTTTTTCCTTGTTTTATTTAATTGGGGACAGAACTCATGGACACTCGACCACTGAGCTCCCACTTAAACCCTTTTTAAAAATTTTGTTTTGAGGCAGGGTCTCTCTGAGCTACTAAGGTCATCCTCCAACTTGTGCTCTTCCTGCCTCAACCTCCCATGTAGCTGGGATTATAAGTGTGCAGCCTCATGCCAGGCCCCATCCCTCTGTTTAAACAGATTGTCCAGTGTGTTCCTTCACTATCTCCTGCCAAGTTACAGTCAACCTAGCCTCTTGATCAGACTTTTCTACTAGTTTCCCCTTGTAGAAGAATTTTTCCAAGGACTGTCTTAGAGTTTTAGTGCAGCATTCTGGTCATTGTAGCCTGAGGAACTGTCGACTCCAGACCTGGAAGTCTGCAGTCTCAAGTACCCTTGGAAAAAATAGCAGTCCTCCTCCTCCTTGAGTAGGTAGGAAGGGAGAGAGTGGGCTTGGCAGGGTAACTCAGTGGTAGAGTGCTTGTCTGGCTTGTATGAGGCCTTGGGTTCTGTTCCCCAGCACCAGAGAGAGAGAGAGAGAGAGAGAGAGAAAGAATGACAACACAAAGTACCTTTACTGCTCTAGAAACTGTCAGTCCCCTGCTTCTCATATTCAGCACCCCCACCCCCAATAGGTGGTTTCCTCTTGACCAGATCCACACCTAGTTCCAAATGCTCTCTCCAGACCAGTCAAGGTTTGTGCTTCCAAGCTTTTCAGTAGGCTATGACAAGCCTTTTGACTCAAAGCCACATTCCTGCCTAGGAAGCTCAGGGCACATTCCACTGGGTAGGAAAGAGCAGTGGGCAAAGGAACATCTTACGAATCAAGTCATTTAYGGCTCTGAAATAGGCACAGACAGTTCTTTTACATGTTTTATTAGTATTTATGAAATGCCCAGTAAATGTTTTGATGGAAAATTGTCTCCTGGGCACCAGAAAGAATTCCACAAAGCGAGCATTTCCCWCTTGTACACACCCTGGTTTTCTTAAGTGCCTATTGTAGAGTGAAGAATTTCTAAATCAGAGATCTGATGAATCTTCAGATATTCTAACAAGTGGGACTTACAGAGTTGGAAGGGAGATGGATGGAATGAGTCCTGGGAAGGAGAGGCTCCTGCCTGACTTCACGAGTTCAGGTCAGCATTATCACCTTAAGCCTTCAAAACTTGAGACAACAAGGTGATCTTTTGGCTCCCAGGGAGCCAAAGTTTTTCAGCACCTGGGACAAACTAGTCGTTAGTGAGAAGTAACCAAAACAATCACTCAGTGTACTTTTTTCTGCTCCCCTAACTTTCCAAATCATTGTGTTCATGGGATGGAAAGCGTATTATCCAGGCTGAAAATAAAGCATGACTCTGTGGGGGAAATTGGCTCTCATGGATGGCTTGCTGTCAAAACACTCCATGAGCTGCCTGGGCTGGAAGACTGCCATTTGTGGCCAAGACATTTAAATTAAAATCCCCAACCAGTGTCTGCCACAGGGCAGCTTGAGAGGTCAGCCTCAGCTGCACCACATGTCCTCTTGCCTTAGGTTCTCAGGTCAGGCTCAAGACAACATCCTGTCAAATCTGAAATCTGGAGATYACTGTTAGACTTTCAGTTTTATCACTATAGAGAAAACTCCATGGGCTGGGTGTGCTGCACGCCTATAATCCCAGCAACTCAAGAGGCTGAAGCAGGAGGTCTGCAAGTTTRAGGCCAGCCTCAGCAATTTAGTGAGGCCCTAAGCAACTTAGCAAGATCCTGACTGAAAATGCAATTTAAAGCCTGGCACAGTGGTGCACGCCTGTAATCCCAGCAGCTTGGGAGGCTATGGCTAGAGGATCACAAGTTCAAAGCCAGCTTCAGCAGAAATGAGGCACTAAGCAACTCAGTGAGACCTTCTCTCTAAATAAAATACAAAATAGGGCTGGGGGTGTGGCTTGATGGTCGAGTGCCCCTGGCACAAAAAAAAAAAAAAAAAAAAAAACGCAACATAAAAAAGGGATTTGGGGATATGGCTCAGCAGTGCACTTCTGGATTCAATCTCTGGTACCAAAAAAGAGAGAGAGGGAGAGCAGCTCCATAGATTTGTGGAATTTGCCTGACATATCTTAGGAACCCATTTCCCTTCCTTCTTACTAGCAAGGGTGAAAAAGGAAAAGTTGCCTTCACTCCTAACAGTAATTTGATATAAAATGAGCTTAGCCCATTTGATAATAATTAATTCACTCTATTTTTTCTGATTACAAAGAACTKTGTAAATTAATGAGGCACTTTTCCTTCTATATGTACTGAAATAAAGAAGGCCAACGTTCAGGATGTCCCAGACTTAGGCTTTCATAACCTCAGAATTATAAACATCACCAAYTTACAAACAGGATAATTTGAAAATTTACTTAAACTTCTTATACACTTAGTCTTTTGAATTTTGAACAATACATTTCAAATTTAATTTCTTTGTCAGTGATAGTCATCTTCAAAGACTAAAGCAAAATATTAATGTATTTTTCACAATCCACAAAAGAAATTGAAAATAATTTAATTTGTTTAATCCTCACCATATCCCTGTGAGGTTGATACTATTTTTATTCCACCCTAGAGATCAATCAGGGAGGTTAGTAACTTGCCCAAAGTCACATAGCAAGTGGCAGAGCCAGAATTCAAACTCTAGACCCCACACCCTACTGCTTCTCAAATTGTTGAGAAGTTCTTAAGAAGTATTTCAACTCCCAGTGCCCTTATCTTGAGAAAGTTGAGATTATATTAATGAGTCTCCTTTTTGTTTGGGAGTCGATTTTGCTGTGGCTTGTGGGGAGTGAGCTAGAGCAGAACGTGTCTAACTCTCCCCTCTGTGTGTCCAGGGCTGCCAGCGTATCGTGGAGGACTGGCAGAAAATCCTTATGGTGCGGTCCCTCGTGGTCAGTCCTCATGAGGACATGAGAACCTGGCTCAAGTACGCCAGCCTGTGTGGCAAGAGCGGCAGGCTGGTGAGTTCCCCCACCATGTGGCGGGTGCTGCRCCTGCTTTGGTTCTGTTCATAACCTGGCCTGTCTTGTTCTTAAGGCTCTTGCTCATAAAACCTTAGTGCTGCTCCTGGGAGTCGATCCGTCTCGGCAGCTCGACCATCCTCTGCCCACAGTCCACCCTCAGGTGACCTATGCCTACATGAAGAACATGTGGAAGAGCGCTCGCAAGGTCTGTACCCACGTCCAGCCACCAGGGTCCACCTTCAGAACACTCATCTAATCTCGCTGCCTCCCTAAAGGCCAAAAAGGAGCCAGGGTCAAAACCACCTATCCACAATGGCAGGCAGTCTCTTCCTGACTTYACCCTGTGAGTCACGGTCGAGGAGATATCTGCGTGCCTTGACCAAACCAATGAGTGTGATCCAGTTGTATTTATTGGTATCCAGAAAGTCCTGAATCATAGAAAAAGCACAGTTTCTGTCCCTGAAGAGAAGATAGGCTGTTCAAAACAAGGGTAGCATATTTGTGAAAATAGACTAAGTCTTTCGTAAGACCAGTTTGGTTTCCAGACTTCTGGTCACCTTTTGTATCATCAATTTGGATTCAAAAGCAGCAGCATGCAGGGCATGCTGGGAAACAGATTTGGCATTGGTATTTGTTTTGTTTTTGTTTTTTTTTTTTACAATCTCCCTGGGTGATGTTGGTGAATAACAAAATGTATACCCTCGGGGCAAAACCACCTGCTTTGACTCCCCCAAAGGAGAGTACCTATGCTGGCCTCCCCTCCCCACTGTGGTCCCCAGCAGAGCTGAGGCTGTGGAAAGAGTGGTTAAAACAGAGTTGTCTAGAGGGGCTGCGATTGTGGCTCAGCGGTAGAGCACTCACCTAGCACGGGTGAAACCCAAGTTCGATCCTCAGTACCACATAAAAATAAAGGCATTGTGTTGTATCCATCTACACCTAAAAAAAAATAAATATTTAAAATACTTAAATATTTAAAAATATTAAAAAAAAAAAAAAAACAGGGTTGCCTGGAGAAGGCATGCCCAAGGGTCCTCAGACTGGGCCTAGGATTTGGCTTCTGTGAATGGTGTCACCTAAGGTGGTATCAATAGCCTTCTCTAAGAACCTGGTCTTTAACTGGGATTTACCTCATTACTAATGACCTGAGTTTCCTTCTAAAGTGCATATTTGGGATTTTGTTATTGTTGTTTTATTTTTCAAGCTACATGAGCCTTTCAGGCCAGAGCATTTCTGATTCAGTCCTGACCTCTCCAAGTTAAGGAGAAAAACAGAAGGTGGTGAATCTGAATGGTCTGGTTTCCTTCTGTGTACAGCCTCCAAGTCTTTGACTGTCTTGCCGAAAGTGGCAGAAGAAGACTTTTGGGTGGTGACTCAATTCAGGAGTGGCTTCTCTCAATATATGCTCACACCCAACTTCTCTACAGAATATGGCCTTTTCTTAAGAGACCAAGTTCTGGAGAAATTAAAAATTTAAAAACCTTTTTAAAGCTAGGTGCTGGGACTTCAAGCCTAAATCTGGCAGCATCACTTCTTCATGGTCCAGGAGCTACTTGGAGAAAGTTTGGTGATTGTGCCTTGCCCTCCTGCACTATAAACAGGGTGGTGCAGCAAGTGCAATGTCCTGGGGGGAAGCAGACCCTGCCTGCAGGAAGGCATCAGGGACAGCTGGGTGCGTGATTCCACCCAGAGATGGGAGGGCCATGCATGAAATCTCAATGGCTAAGGTCCTTCCAACCCACAAACCACCCAGACATAGTGCTCTCAAGAACCAGAGGACTGTGCCCAGCCTCAGTCCTGTGGGCCTGAGAAAGCTCTTTCTTCCAAGTGACTGTCCTTCATTTATAAGATGGAAAGAATCATTTTCCCCTCTTCATTTCTTTGGGATGGAGAAAAGAAGTTTTAGGTAGAATATATTCAGTTCCTTAAAAATAAGTTGGTGGCACATAATTTAATCCTAGCAACTTGGGAGATGGAGGCAGGAGGATCACAAGTTCAAGGACACCTAAACAACTTAGCAAAATCCTGTCTCAAAGTAAAATAAAAAGGGCTGGGATGTAAGTCAATGCTAGAGCACCCCTGAGTTCAACTCCTAGTACTGCAAAAAGTATAAAATAAGTTGCCTCATGYTATGGAGTAAAAAGGTGGCAGATTCTCCCCTGCTGGATAAAATTTTTATCTTAGGCTTCACACCCAAACCCAGATTCCCCAGTTCTGGCCATTTATTTTTTGTTCAGCTCCTTGTTGAGCTCCAAAAAGAGCTTACGCCCTGTCTGGATTGTCAGTAACACATAGTGTTTGGGCTCTAAAAAGCACCTGGCTTCAGAGCTCCTGGGGTTGCTCCTGCCTGCTTGACAGCCGCACTCATGGTCCCCTTTTTAGTGGCTGTCCTTTTTAGTGGTGCTTCCACTTTCATTTTGTTTTTGTTTTTAATCAGATGTAAATCTGGCCAGTGTAGGACTCCTAGAAGAAAACCTAAAGGACAGGTATCACTTCCCAGGTGGGGGAATGCTATGTAGTTCTTTTTCTAAGCTGTTRGTGAGAAGTGGAACTCTGTGAAGGCAGATGCTGTGGAAGACAGGTGTCTTATTCACTGTGGGAACCTGTATCTGTCCTGTCCTCAGGCATGAGCTGCTTGTTACAGGGTCATGTCATTCCAGCTTGGGGTCAAACCCTGTATCTTGAAACCAATTGATTCTGAGTTCTATAAACAAAAACAAAAAAACTTCTTATACGATTTACCATAAGGAGACCTATTATTCTTGGAAAAGTGGATTTTCCCCTCCTTGTATAACAAAGAACACATATCCTTTTTCACGTTCTCTCACATAATGTTTCTTCTCCTATGTTAGTGGATTTAGATTTTACCATTCTCCATATGAGCTTTAAACGTTTATGCATTTTGTCTCCATCCTAGAAGTCTGTTAAAAAAAGGTATAGACTGAATTTGTCAAGATGCTGGCAGGTCTGGGCACAGTGGGCTCGTGTAGTACTTCCGGATCTGAGGCCTGTGCTGCTCTTCCTGGTACAGCTGTCTGGTCCCTGGTAACTCACATGCCACTGCTCACTGAGTCAGACCCCATGGTAGCAGTAGAGGGAAAAGTAGAGGGGACTGCAAGAGGATTCTCTGAAGATTCTGTTCCCAAGCCCCCTGTCCCTGGGTGGCTGCTTACCTAGTGTCATCTTCTTCCACTAAGCACTTGAGGGCCTTTACTCCTTCTCTGTTCTTATTCAGGTTCCAGGGGTTCCATCTGTTTTTTTTAAATCTGTAATTTTTGCTCTGCTGAAGCAGCCAGGGCACCATAGCTTTGTAAACAAATACCAAGGTTTTACTAGCCTGAGACAGTTTCCCCTGAGTCTGATTCCCTCAGGGCAGTATATTGATAGTTAAGTAAGCACTTGTTCAGATCACTTCACATGAGTTATTATTTGGGATAGCCAGACCTGTGGCTCTTCCAGGACTTGTTAAACTGGTAATTACAGTTGGCAGAGGAGAGCTAAGACTTAAGCTGAATGAATCATGAATGTTCTGGAAAAGCCTGGCCCTCTCCCAACAGCATCTTGTGTTCTAGGGTATTCTGTTTGGTGTGGATTGACTTGTGTGCCTGCAAGCTTCTGCCACATGCCAAGTGGCTCTCTGTGCCTTTGTCCTGCCACAGATCGATGCCTTCCAGCACATGCAGCACTTTGTCCAGACCATGCAGCAGCAGGCCCAGCATGCCATTGCCACTGAGGACCAGCAGCATAAGCAGGAGCTACACAAGCTCATGGCCCGGTGAGGACCATCTTGCCCCTGCCATGCCAGCAGCTTCTGTAGTGAGGACACATTCAGGCTCCTTGGGGAGCCTATTGCCCATACCTCTCACCTTTTGCAGTAGGGATCCCAGGCAGCCATCAAATTGCGGTGCTCCATAGTCCCCACTCATTTTCCCAGGGTTCAGCAGCTCAAGGGCACTCAGCCCAAGTGCTATCCTCTCCTGGTGTCTGGCTTTAGGGTTAGACTTTTTGTTTTCAGGTGCCAGGTACACTGCTAATTTGAAGTGTGGATAAATTTGACTTTAGATAAACTGTTTAACCTCTCTGGAAGATAGGAAGAGTACCTGTTTCCTAGGGTGGTGTAAGGTGTGTGGCTTTATGGAAAGGCCACAGCACGTCAAACACTGAGAGCAGTGCCTGGAGCACATCAGCAGGTGCAAACGCCAGCTGGTGCCGTCATCACCTTAACAAAGGGAGGGAGGGGGAAGAGTAAGGGAGAAGCCATAGGCAATCAATAGGAAAAATAACTCAACAGCTGTTCCCCATGAAAATTGGATTTGGGCTAGATAGGTCCTTGCAGATATACCTTTACCAGGTTCCTGGGTTATGCTGTCATTGCAACACAGAGATCAGAAGAAAAGATGGTACCTGAAAACCTGTTCCCAGACCCTGTCTCCTTCCTTCCACATGGTTGGACATTCTGCTGGTTCCTTTAGGTTGCCTCTTGACAGGGAGAATAGATACCAGAAAGGTGTTAAGGCACCCCTGGCAGTTTGTTGTCCCCCTCAGGAGGGCTCTTAGGGAGAAGGAGCAACATGGGGGCTTGCTTCTCTTTTCAGGTGTTTCCTGAAACTCGGGGAGTGGCAGCTGAACCTCCAGGGCATCAATGAGAGCACCATCCCCAAAGTGCTGCAGTACTACAGTGCCGCCACTGAGCATGACCGCAGCTGGTACAAGGTGAGGGGGGCAGGGCACAGCCACCTGGCAGGACCCCTCAGCCTGGCCCCTGGGAGCCAAGTGACTGGAGCCTGTCTGTCAAGAGGCCCAAGAAGTGGCTGGGGTTGTAGCTCAGTGGTAAAGCACTTGCCTCCCACACGTGAGGCCCGGGGCTCAATCCTCAGCACCACATAAAAATAAATAAACAAAATAAAGATACTGCATACGTGTACAACTAAAAAATCAAAAAAGAAAAAAAAAAAAAGAGGCCCGAGGAGCCTGCATTTTCCTTACACATTTCATTGATTCCTCACTTGAGAAGTAGGCATCACGCTGTGTCCTATATGTGGCACTGGGCTGCTGCTGTCTTTTAACTTCTTAGCTGCTTGTTTTCCTAGGAGCATCTGGACACACAGTTAATCTCAGGAACTTTATCTTCCCCCTGGGTAATCTGTTCCTTCCCAGCTCCTTTCTGATCTCCATCCTCGGCTACTCCTCAGCTAAGAAATTAACTTTCTTTGTTTTTATTGGAAAGATCTGGGTAACATCCTGTTATATTACAGGAAACTTTTCAAAAGGACAAACAGAAATGTACAAAAGATGTGACTGGCTGGTACAGGGGAGYCTTGGAAGTACATCCTTGGCAAGAGCTCACATTCTTATATTTTTAAATATCTTTTCCAAAGGGCCTCCTTCATAACATAGCATATATCATCAATTTCTTTCCAGAATCTCCTTAACTTACTAATACTTTGTGAATTAATCCCTCTGGGGTCAAAACTTGCATCTGAAAGCCACAGAAGAGTTCACAATAAAAAGCTCTCCTTGTCTAAGCATGCTTCTTTGATCCAAAAATGCCCCTTCTGTAATAGGAGAATTACTTGTCTCTCAAGGACAGCTGCATGTCAAAAGCCAAAGAAGTGAGTCCAGTGAGGTTTAGTAGGGGTCTTGCTGACTAGTTACCTATCATTCACCCTTTAGAAAAATACAGATCACAAGGAAAAACCTGYTTCCAGGCAAATTGGTTTTAGTTTTTAAAAGCATTTTCTAGTATGGATCCCTTTGGTTCTAGGTCTTGTACCATCAAAAATCCTCATAGTATGGTGTGCATGCCAGCATTTTGGTCTTGTTCACCTTGACCCCAGGTCAGTGCCTGGCACCTCCATATGTAAGAGGCATGTGTTGAATAAATGAAGGTCTAGGGAACTGAACTTGAGTCACTGTAGCATTCTAACTTGTCAAGTAAAGACTACTCTGCTTAATTGGGAAAATGGGCACAGTTATGTTATCATCTTCAGCAGTAGACAGGGAATTTCCTGATTATCCAGAAAGTCCAACTCTTAGTGGATTATCTTAATATGCTATCGTCACTGCAGAGTTACAATGCCCTGAGTCAAAACTTTGCCTCAGCCTCTCTGTACCATGCAGAAGTGGTCCTCCTTATACCTCTCAGTGTGTGCCTTCCCTTGCCCCCTGTCATGTGACTTATTAGGACTCACACTACTCCCTAAATGTGACAGCTGCCTCTCAACATCTGCTCTCTTAAATAATCCATATTGTCTACTTTAAAAACCCGTAAAGCTTCATTTTCCCATAGATGAAGTGGGCCCCTGGACCTAGTGTGACTGTTCCTCTGCCCTGGCACTTGACCAGCCTTCCTGCATTTTGCTCCTGCAGGTGCCCTAAACTGCAGGCGTGTCCTTTGCTTGTTTCCTGTGGACACTGCTTGCCCTCTGTGCGCCTCTGTCCCGTTCTTCCCCTTGCGAGGAAGTCTTCTTCTTTACCTGGAAGGTTTAAATGAAAACTTCCATACATCCATCACTTTTGGCCTCCTCATTTGTGAGTCTCTGACCAGCTGAGTGCCAGGCTTTCCTGTTGCCCTTCTCATTTGTCCCAGTCTGTGGTTCTCTTAGGTCACGCTGGCTCATCTCTCCGTGTCTGAGCTTGTGCCATGATCTGGGAATGCCCATGAGCTCAGAATGATCCTTGCACATCAGTCCAGAACCCYGCCACTCATCACAGCCATAGGTTCTCTTCTCCAGAGCCTTAGAGATGAAAAATAGAAAAAAAGCTGGAAAACTAAAGCTGTTGCTCACAGCCCAGCATCTACCCCTGGCTCTCGCCCTACCCAGGCCTGGCACGCATGGGCAGTGATGAACTTCGAAGCTGTGCTGCACTACAAGCACCAGAACCAAGCCCGCGACGAGAAGAAGAAATTGCGTCATGCCAGCGGGGCCAACATCACCAATACCACCACAGCGGCCACCACTGCTGCCACTGCTGCTGCCGCCGCCAGCACAGAGGGCAGCAACAGTGAGAGCGAAGCCGAGAGCTCTGAGAACAGCCCCACTCCATCCCCTCTGCAGAAGAAAGTCACTGAGGTGGGCTCCCCTCTCCTCCTGAGGACCAGCCAGGCGCAGCCCTCTGAGCAGTCCAAGCTCAGTGGAGCCTGAGGCTTCTCTGAAGTGCGAGGTGGAGCTGGATGCCCTGCCTTCRCAGCAGTGCAGGAGACCACACCCTGCTCTGGGGGGCTGTCATGGCCTGTGCTGGAGAATGAGCTCCTTCTCTTAACTGTGCTGTGCCTGTTTGGGGGCAGCGTCCACCTGCAARTCCACTCTGAGGACAGGGCCTGGGGGATCATCTTTGCCTGTTGTCTTCCCTTCCACCTCTCCTTGGGCTGTCAATCTGAAATGCACCAAGGTAGCCATCAGGTCCAGAGAACAGCACTCAAAGCTGCAGCCCCACCCTCTGCCACTCTGTTCAGGAAACCACCATACTCCAAGACAGTGACAGTTCTGACACAGTTGCCATGTTCCAGGCACCAAAAAAGGCTTTCCATGCACAACTGGCTGAACACTCAACTGCCCTTTGAAGGAGGTGCTTTTAGTATGCACCTATTCCCACTATCCAGATGAGAAAGCTGAGGCAAAGGGCCAGGGATTCAGCTCAATGGTAGAACACTTGCCTAGTGTGTGCAAGGCCTTGGTTCAATCTCCAGCACCACAGGAAAAAGAAAGCTGAGATAAAAGTGTCACTAACACATGTGTATTCCAACAGGATTTATCCAAAACCCTCTTGATGTACACTGTACCGGCCGTCCAGGGCTTCTTCCGTTCTATCTCCTTGTCACGAGGCAACAACCTCCAGGATACACTCAGGTATCAGGGAAGGAGAGGGTGAAACTCTGGAAGATCCTGCTAATGACGGGACACCCATGTCACACATCCAGGTCATCTAAGCCCTCCCCACTCCAGTCAGTACACCCAAGCTCGGCTCTGGGCCTTTCTCCACCTGTGGGTTGAGGAATGATCGCTGGCCGAGTTCCACTTAGGAGGATGGAACCTGCAAAAACCTAGAAGTGGAGTGAGGGCTGTCTATGTGGTTTACTACGTAGGGACCAAGGCTTTTGTTCATCACAACATTTTAAAAATCCTCCTGCAACTTTGACAAGTCTGAACAGTTGGCCCAAACCGATTGTCAGTCCAGAGGCTAGTCATGACAGGCACAGCCATGGCCTCCTCATTTGTGAGTCTCTGACCAGCTGAGTGCCAGGCTTTCCTGTTGCCGTTTTCATTTGTCCCAGTCTGTGGTTCTCTTAGGTCACGCTGGCTCATCTCTCTGTGTCTGAGCTTGTGCCATGATCTGGGAATGCTCGTGAGCTCAGAATGATCCTTGCACATCAGTCCAGAACCCCGCCACTCATCACAGCCATAGGTTCTCTTCTCCAGAGCCTTAGAGATGAAAAACAGAAAAAAAAAAAAAAAAAAAAAAAAACCCGGAAAACTAAATTTTATATACTTTTCATTTGTCTTTTCCAGAGTTCTCACTTTGTGGTTTGATTATGGTCACTGGCCAGATGTCAATGAAGCCTTGGTGGAAGGGGTGAAAGCAATCCAGATTGATACTTGGTTACAGGTGAGGGTGGCCCAAATTCTGTCTCCTGTGTTCTTCTCTTGGAACCATGCAGTGGTCAGAGGGGCAAGGCAGCATGTGTTTACAATATTAAGAATGCAGGGCTGGGGCTGGGGTGCAGTGGCAGAGYGCTTGCCTAACATGTGTGAGGCACTGGGTTTTATCCTCAGCACCAAATAAAAATAAACAAACAAAATAAAGGCAAGRTGTTCATCTACAACTATAAAAATAAAAAAAGAATACAGAACTTAGACCCAAAATCTGGACTACATATACTCTTTAGTTTCTTTTAGAGAACTGAAAATAATGAACCATTTCAGAGCTTAAAGTATCAACCAAACAAGTTGTAAGGATCAATCTTCATTTAGAAGAATAACTAGAGTTGTTTCCCTGCCTCACATGCCATATACTGTGACTTTTTGAATACCAGGTTATTCCTCAGCTCATTGCAAGAATTGATACRCCCAGACCCTTGGTGGGACGCCTCATTCACCAGCTTCTCACAGACATTGGTCGGTACCACCCCCAGGTATGTGGAGAACCTGAGCAGTTTCTCATCTAATCACTGACCTTTGATTTGATGGCCAGCCTTTGAGAAACACAAGTACAGGAACTGGGAGCTAGGTGCTCCACCCAGCCCTAGGAAGGTCTACTCAGCTAGTAGTCCCAAGGACCCAGCAACCATCCTGAAAAGAAAGTCTCCTCCAGATGGAGCTCTCCTTTGTGGTAGACTCATGGTGCTAATGTCATCTTCACCATGTCTTTTGCCATTCTCCTTAAAACCTGCATTGGTCTGGGTACAGTGGCACAAACCTGTAATCCCATCTATTCACTGAGGCAGGAGGATCACAAGTTCAAGGACAGCCTGGGCAATTTAAAGAGGCCCTGCCTCAAAATTTTAAAAGTTAAAAAAAAAAGGCTGGGATTGTAAGTCAGTGATAGAGTGCCACTGTGTCAGTCCCCCGTACAGGGAAAACCCCTCAGGCTCCTTACATGTGTCTCTTACAAATGTTCCTGTTTKGGGGCTGGAGATGTGGCTCAAGCGGTAGCGTGCTCGCCTGGCATGCGTGCGGCCYGGGTTCGATCCTCAGCACCACATATAAACAAAGATGTTGTGTCCGCCAAAAACTAAAAARTAAATATTAAAAATATTCTTAAAAAAAAAAACAAATGTTCCTGTTTGCTTCAGGCYCTCATCTACCCTCTGACTGTGGCTTCCAAGTCAACTACAACAGCCCGTCACAACGCAGCCAACAAGATTCTGAAGAACATGTGTGAGCACAGCAACACCCTGGTCCAGCAGGCCATGATGGTGAGTCCAGAGCCAGCCAGGGTCTTCCTCACCATGGGACCGCACACTCCCTGTCCCACCAGATGCGTCCCTCCAATTCTCCAAGTCAGACTTCCTGAGAGTGTTCATCCCTGGTGCTTTTCTTTCCCCGCTTTGATCCAGGTGAGCGAGGAGCTGATCCGGGTAGCCATCCTCTGGCATGAGATGTGGCACGAAGGCCTGGAAGAGGCATCTCGTTTGTACTTCGGGGAGAGGAATGTGAAGGGCATGTTTGAGGTGCTGGAACCTCTGCACGCTATGATGGAACGGGGCCCCCAAACTCTGAAGGAAACGTCCTTTAATCAGGTATGGGATGGAAAGCACCAAGGACATGATTCCTTTCCCTCTATCCTTTCTTCTGCCTTAACACAAGAACTCCAGCAGAGGTCACCGGGATAAAAAAACACCAGAAGTTAATTGTCTCTAAGTTTCAAGAACCTGCCTAATTTTGTTTCTTTTTTGTACTGGTGATTTAACACAGGAGCACTTAACCACTGAGCCACATCCCCAGCACTTTTTATTTTTTATTTAGAGACAAGGTCTCACTGAATTGCTTAGAGCCTCCCAAATTGCCAAGGCTGGCCTCAAATTTGTGATAATCCTGCCTTAGCTGCCCAAGTTGCTGGGATTACAGGCATATGCCACCATGCACATGGCACTAGTGTAGCACAGTGCTGAATTTTTTTCTTTCTTTTTTACTTTCCTTTTGTTTAATGGTGCAGTGCTGGGAATCAAGCCAAGGCCCCTCATGCATGCTACACAAGCTGTATCACTTAGAACACTTCTAGCTCCTCCTGAAATTTTGTTTTTAAAATTTTTTAATACCTTTGTTTTGTTTATTTATTTATTTATTTAATGTGGTACTGAGGATCAAACCCAGGGCCTCGCATGTGCTAGGCAAGCGCTCTACCTCTGAGCCATAGCCCCAACCCTCCTCCTGAAATTTTAATTGGAAAATCAAAAGAGAGGCCACCCTACCTGTCCTCTGACGTTCCCTTAACCTAACAAGTCTTGCTTATGATCGGGAAGCTCCAGGACTAGGGAACTGCTCAGCTGCTTGTGCTCACCTGCTAGCACTTTCTGGCCACAGTCTGTTCCCGGGGAGTTCTGTGGTCTGCTCAGACATTTAATTTAGGTCCTGTTTTGGTGGCCACTTTGACCACTTGCACATCTGCCCTGCTTTCCTTCTCAGGCATATGGCCGAGATTTAATGGAGGCCCAAGAATGGTGCAGGAAGTACATGAAGTCAGGGAACGTCAAGGACCTCACCCAAGCCTGGGACCTCTACTACCACGTGTTCAGACGGATCTCAAAGCAGCTACCCCAGGTAGGTTCCTCAGGTGGTGCTTTCTGTCTTATTATCTGTGAACTTCCTGATACTCATCCTAAGCATCTGGTTTCACGATTTTTTGTTTGTTTTTTGTTTTTTGTTTTGGTACCAGGATTTTGTTTTGAACTCAGGCTGAGCCACATCCCCAGCACTATTTTGTATTTTATTTGGAGACAGAGTGTCACTGAGTTGCTTAGCACCTCGCCCATTGCTGAGGCTGGCTTTGAACTTGCAATCCTCCTGTCTCAGCCTCCCGAGCCTCTAGGACTACAGGCATGGGCCACCGCGCCCAGCCTGCTTTCACTTGTACCTGTAGAAAACTAATTGCTTCTGGCAGTCTGTTGAAAAAGACCTAAATTATATCTAAATTCCTCCCTGGAGTTTAATTTTCTAACTAAATTTTTTTGGTAATTATTCACAGCTTACATCCTTAGAGCTGCAGTATGTTTCCCCAAAACTTCTGATGTGCCGAGACCTTGAATTGGCTGTGCCAGGAACATATGACCCCAACCAGCCAATCATTCGCATTCAGTCCATAGCCCCATCTTTGCAAGTTATCACATCCAAGCAGAGGCCCCGGAAGCTGACTCTCATGGGTAAGGATCACTGCACTTCTGCCTCCCTGAATGAGTCCCTGCCCCCTATTCTGAAATTATGGCCTGCCATTCCAGCTGCTAATCTTTCATGTGCTACAACTCTCCCCACCTCTTGGGACAAGAATGGAGGACAGTGGCCCCCCCCCTTCTAGGACCTCTTCATGGCTCCGAGTGTACTCAGAGCTGTACCTATTGAAGTGAAGCCAGATCTCATGTGTGGAGCCCTGGTGGTGGTGGGCAGGTGTTGAAATGAGCCAGCAGAGGCAGCTGATGCAGACTTGAGGTTCCACGCCACTGAAGAAAGAGCATCTGRGTTCTTGAATGTTCTCCCTTTGTGGGAAATAATCGTGTAAAGCAAACAAACTAGAATAGCAATGAATCCTCATGGGAGGTACATTCAACACATGGCGTCTAGAATTTGGCTTAGGGGTAGTGATACCTACCTGGAATGGTTGAGGGAGACTTGTGTATTGAGGTGGCATCTTGAGGTCTCTCCCTTTTAATGATGCTCATTTCTCAAGTGTAATGGTTTTCACCAACACTGATCAATCATGGTGCACAGGTAGTGGTCACTCCAGGAGCTGGTATCTTCCAATAAAAAACATCATCACAGGGCTGGGGTTGTGGCTCAGTGGTAGAGCACTTCCCTTGCATGTTTAGTCCTTAGCACCACGTAAAAATAAATAAAAGTTTTGTATCCATCTATAACTGAAAGAAAATATTTTAAAAAACAAACAACAACAACAACAACAAAAGAAAACATGGTCAGTCATGTTCTCAGCGTATTGGATTTAAAAAGTTTAGTGAAGAAACTGYTTCTGAGAGAAGTGAGCAAATAAGCTGTTCCTTATCCTTCCCACCACCCCTCCAGACCTGAAAGGGCAAGGAGCCCAACAAGAACTATTGCCTTGGAAGAGAGACCAGCTAGCAGAAGCTGTAGCTCAGGTGGAGGGACATGGCTGCTTCTAGAACTGTGACCAAGGCAGGGTGTGGGGGCAAATACCCTGATCTCCACCTCTTCCTGTCCTTTCCTGCCAGTGCCTCATTGGCCACACCAGCTGGAACTCCAAGGGGTGTGGGCCATAGGAGTTGGGCTTCTCAGATCAGAGTGGGTCAGGGAGAGGGAAAATGTATAATCTCTGCATGACGGTTCCTGATCCTTGGTAACAGTCTTTTTTTTAATTTAAACAACTTTGGTCATTGGTAGACATCAAAAGCAGAGCTGTTTCCTCAGTTGTAGAGTGTTCTTTCCATTTGAGGGGATTGTGATTAGGGAGAGTGTGTGTAGTCTATGGGATCTTTGGGATACTCTGCTGGTCTCAGCTACGGGCGTGAGAACCTGTGTTCTGCACTAACAGTTGCCACCATCCCTACAGGCAGCAATGGCCATGAGTTTGTGTTCCTCCTGAAGGGCCACGAAGACCTGCGGCAGGACGAGCGGGTGATGCAGCTCTTCGGCCTGGTTAACACCCTCTTGGCCAATGACCCGACATCTCTTCGGAAAAACCTCAGGTATTCAGAGTGCTGTGGAAATGGCAAAATTTTGAGAAGTCTTCTTGCCCTCCTACGACTGTGCGTAGAACCATGCTCCTTTATCAAATAAGTTATAACCTGGCAGGAGGTTATCAGTAACCTAGCTGCCAAACACAAGAAAGGGTCTCCACATGGTATATGCCTTTAACAAGCTCGAAAGAATTCAGAAGGGAGTGATTTGAGATKAGATGAAGATTATACAGACTGTTAATCAAGATTATACAGTATGTTACTCCTTGTGGGGCGTAAGCTCAGCCAGAGCCTTCCTATCCTTGGCCCTGTTGCTTTTCCTTCTCCTGATCTCAGATAATAGTCACATGATGCTTCCAGAGCCACCGGTCTGTTGGGCAGGATGAGAAGGCCAGAGTGGCTTTCAWGTTATGAGCACCCTATTTCTGTGATGCTGTATTCTTTTTTTTTTTTTTTTTAAATAGAAATTTTTTTTTTAAAGAGAGAGAGAGAATTTTTTTTTTTTTAATATTTATTTTCTAATTCTCGGCGGACACAACATCTTTGTTGGTATGTGGTGCTGAGGATCGAACCCGAGCCGCACGCATGCCAGGCSAGCGCTACCGCCTGAGCCACATCCCCAGCCCCGATGTTGTATTCTTCACCAAGTATTGCTCACTCCCCCTCTCACAAAAACCACGTGCAGGGCTCATTAAAGACAGTCAGCAGTGGAGAGCAGTGGCACACACCTGTAATCCCTGTGGCTTGGGAGGCTGAGGCAGGAGGATGATAAGTTCAAAGTAAGCCTCAGCATTTAGTGAGACCCTAAGCAACTTAGTGAGATCCTAATAAAAAATTTTTAAGACCAGGGATATGGCTTAGTGGTTAAGCACCTGGGTACCAGGTACACCCTATACCAAATCTGTGTGTGCTCTGAGTGGATCATAAATATGCTCTTCTTGTACAAAATGACCCTGTTYTTTTGTGGCACCAGCATCCAGAGATATGCCGTCATCCCTCTGTCCACCAACTCAGGCCTCATTGGCTGGGTCCCCCACTGTGACACGCTACATGCCCTCATCCGGGACTACAGGGAGAAGAAGAAGATCCTCCTCAACATTGAGCATCGCATCATGTTGCGGGTATGAGGAGGCTTGCTGCCCAGTGTCCTCAGGGTCCTGGAGGCAGGACTCACACATCAGGGATCCACACAGGGCTGCTTTTCTAGTTCTTTGTGTGTCCATCAGTGAAGTCTATTTGGGGGAATTTGCTATTGAAGGTTTAATGAGGTGAATCCTAAAGCAGAAAACATTCTCTATGAAATCAAAGTGGGATTGCGGATGAAACTCATGGTAGAGTGCTTGCCTGGCATATGGTTCCAGCAATGCAAAATATAAAGTAGAATAAAGTTGCATAAGATTTCAGCATGGTGCTGGGGATGTGGCTTAAGCGGTAGCACGCTCGCCTGGCATGTGTGCGGCCCAGGTTCGATCCTCAGCACCACATACAAACAAAGATGTTGTGTCCACCGAAAACTAAAAAATAAATATTTTTTTAAAAAAAGATTTCAGCATGGCTCGTGAGGCCTAACAGGTTCAGCCTGAGGTTCTTTAAAAAAAAAAAAGAAGTCAGGCATGATGGCACACACCTAGAATCCCGTGACTCTGGAGGCTGAGGATCACAAGTTCAAAGCCAGCCTTAGCAATTTAGTGAGGCCTTGAGCAATTAGCAAGATCCTATCTCAAAAAGAAATTAAAATCAGCTGAGGATGTGGCTCAGTGGTTAAGTGCCCCTGGGTTCAATCCCTAGTACCCTAAATAAATAAATAAATTTTAAAAAGAAATTAAAGTCTTCTAAAGCCTGGAAATTATGTTTTCATTGTCCTGTATGGGACTGGACAGATAAATATAGGCAGCATCTATTTATCTAACATATACCAAGCTCTGGAAGGCCTGGTGAGTAGTCATCTAAGAACTAGGAAGAATTGTTATGCAGACCTTAAAACCTCGTCCCCTCGTCCACTGCACTAGGCTTGGACTGAGGTGAGTCCAGGTGTCCCCACCCATGCCCTGGGAGCCAGTGTGGCCACTATGCTGCACTTCCCGTCTCCTCTTGACCAGCAGCAAAATTAGAACCAGGTCTGCCTGGCCCAGCCCTGTGCCTCCGGCTGCACTAACTGAACATGTGTCCTGATGCAGATGGCTCCAGACTATGACCACCTGACCCTGATGCAGAAGGTGGAAGTGTTTGAGCACGCTGTCAACAACACAGCAGGGGACGACCTGGCCAAGCTGCTGTGGCTGAAGAGCCCCAGCTCGGAGGTAGGGCCACTCAGCTGCTTCTGACCCACTCCTAAAAGGGCCAATTAGCTACTCTTTGCTACTGTTAACTGTGGATTATGTACAGCCTTTTATAGCAAAAATYACATGCTATTTAGATTGAATAGTTTGCAGCTTTCTCCTATTGATTATGATAGTATTTAGCCTTTTTTCCTATATTTAGGATAGTTGGTCTTTTTCATATATGTTGTAAATTTCCTGTATATTTGATTTTCTAATTTGATTARTGTTTTGGGGATTGGGTTTTTTCTTTTTCACACATTATTTTAAAAGTTAGATATATCCGAGTTTGAAGTTTCTGCTTTTGGCTTTATATTTAGAAAGGCTCTCTCCACCTCAAGCTGATGTCTCTTTTTACCTATATTTTCTTATAAGATTTGCTTTTACAATTAAATTCTAACCCAGTTTGGAATTTCTTTTTTCACATCAGCTGGGTAATGTGCCAACAACGTAACAAAGTTCAGAGGGAGGCATATCTCACACAATAGCAAGAACACCCAATCATCACACTTATGAGCTGGAAGGATCTAGAATGTATTTGTAAACTTAGGTGGGCTGGGCTTGATGGTGCACACCTGTAATCTCAGTAACTCAGGAGGCTAAAGCAGAAGGATCACAAGTTTGAAGCCAGCCTTGACAATTTACTGTCTCAAAAAAAAAAAAAAAAAAAAAAGAGGCTCGGACTGTAGCTCAGTGGTAAAGCACCACTAGGTTCAATCCCCAATACCAAAAAAATAACAATAATAAAAATAAATCAATAAAACTACAGTGTAACTTGTTTTTTAAAAGATGATTAGCTGCCACCACACTATTTACCAAATAACCCATCCTTCCCCACTATTTGAAAAATTCCATCTTCATTATACACTAAATTCCTCCATGCCCAGGGATATCTTTCTATGGCTTCTGCTTCATTATTCCCTCTGCCTGTTCCTCCATAAGTACCATACCATTAATATAAGTCTCTTCGCATTAGCTATTTTCACATATTTTTTCTTCCAGAGAAATGTTGGGATCATTTTGTCAAGGTTGAAATGCCATTGAATTTTTTTTTTTTTTTTTTATTTTGAGAAGACAGGGTCTCTCCAAATTGCCCAGGACCTCACTGAGTTGCTGAGGCTGGCTTTGAACTTGGGATTTTCCTGCCTCAGCCTCCTGAGACWCTGGGATTACAGGCATGTGCCACCGTGCCTCTCAGTGCCACTGAAATTATATTGGAATTATATTAAATGTATCAAATGATAATTTGGAAGGCTGTTGCATCTCTGCAATCTTAAATGAATCCTGAAGTGGGTCTTTTCATAAAGTCTTCACTTAAGTCTTTATGTTCCTAAGAAGAAAAGTTTACTTGTTCATTGAAACCTAACATGTTTCCAATTAAGTTTATTCTGAGACATAGTTGTTTATTATACTCATGAATGGGATCTTTATTCCATCCTATGTTCCCACTGATTATTAATGGAATAAAAAAACAGAAGGGATTGGGGTCTGGCTGTGTTGGAACCAGCTTAAAGTTTCCAGTGCTTGGGTTCACTAATGCTCCTGTTTTGTAGGTGTGGTTTGAYCGAAGAACCAATTACACTCGCTCTTTAGCAGTCATGTCAATGGTTGGATATATTTTGGGCCTAGGAGATAGGTGAGTGAATTTAATTTATTTCTTTTAGTCTCCTTTTGTTTTAGTAGTTTTCTTTTTATTTGTTTTCCGGTGAGATTTATGACTTTTTGGCAAATAACTATTTGTGTTTTTACTTTAGACATCTTTGGGGTTTTTTGTTTTTGTTTCTGCTTTTGCAGTATTAGGGAATAAACCCCAGGGGCTCACACATGCTAGGCAAATGCTCTACCACTGAGCTATATCTCCAGCCCTTTTAATTTTTTATTTGAGAGAGGATCTCTCTAAGTTGATGAGACTGGCTAGAACTTACAATGCTTCTACCTCAGCCTTCCAAGCAGATGGAATTACAGGCATGCACCACTGTGCCCAGCTACTTAGACCTCTTTTACAGCATCAACCTTAGCCTTCATCTGTTTATTCTAATAGGATAACACTTCAACTAGAGAGAAGCAAAACCGTAGCTCAAGAGTACTACTTTCTCCATAGGTTGGTTTAGTGCGCTAAAAAAGCCACAATAAATAAGATTGATTACATTGACTTAGTAAATATTAAATAATTAATATGATGCTAAGATAGTTGATYCTGTTTCTGCAATTGAAACCAACCAAAATAGATCCTTATGATATTTTTGCATAATAAATTTCATCCAAACTTACAGACTAAAAAAATAATTCAGGGCCGGGTTGGGTGGCATACACCTGTAATCCCAGCAGCTCAGGAGGCTGAGACAGGAAGATCATGAGTTCAAAGTCAGCCTCAGCAATGGCAAGGCACTAAGCAACTCAGTGAGACCCTGTCTTTATATAAAACATAAAAAGGGCTGGGGATGTGGCTCAGTGGTCACGTGCCCTGAGTTCGATCCCTGGTAACAAAAAAAAAARAGAGAGAGACTGAGGTGGGGATATCACTTTAGCCCAGAAGTTAGAGACTAGTCCAGGCARCATTTCAAGACCCTGTCTCAAAAGAATACAATAAATGACAACAACAACCAAAAAAACCTAGCAGAACACCTATTGACAAAAGCCAGATGATCTTCCCCGGATTGGCTCAGGGGCTCATGGAGACAGATCCTGTGATAGCTACATGATAGTAATGACAGAGCCTTACCACTGAGGGGCTTTCACTGCCGTAAACTGTTTGTCAGGTGACCCAAGACCCTGGAGAAGCAGAGTCTCCTGATGACTCCTACAGGTAAATCTTCACTGTGGCTCCAGAACAGGAACAGGCACTTTTTCTGTAAAGAGCAAATGATAGATATCTTGGGCTTTGTGGGCCATGTGGTCTCTGTCACAGTGCCAGCTCTGCCACTGTAGCATAAAACCAACTAGAAACAGTACAGAAATGAAGAAGGCCATTTTTCAGTAAAACGTGGCTTATAAAGTCAGGTGGGAGCCAAACTTACCTCAGAGCTATTGTCTGCCAGCCCCTGGCCTGGAGTTTTACATCCTCACTGATTCATTTGTCAATGCTGCTTGTTGACCCTTCCCGTCTCTCCCTTCTGCTTCTCAGACACCCATCTAACTTGATGCTGGACCGACTGAGTGGAAAGATCCTGCACATTGACTTTGGGGACTGCTTTGAGGTAAACATGTTTCTGAAACCATGTCAGACAGACCTCACTCTGCTCTCACAGTTCAGGCAAACATAAGCCCCAAACATCCCTCCTCTCCCCCRTCACTCCTGCCAACAAGATCAAGTCAGTTGCAGCCTTGAAATCCATGGCTGAGGTCAGACTCTAAGCCCTGTGGGCAGGGGCCACTCTCCACACACCCTTCGCTAAGTGAAGGAATCTGCCACCTTGCATGCTGCCTGCTGGTCAAGCACTTGGGCAATATACCCTTGTCCTTTTCTTTTTCTTTTTCTTTTTTTTTTTTCCTTCTCCATCTTTTGGGGTTTCTAGCCTCATTCAGATCCCCATAATCAGTCCCTTCACTAAACTCAAGCTGCTTCATTTCTGTGTTGTCATGTGAATCAGTAGAGATGAGACAAAGGAAAGCTACCTGCCTTCACCTTACTTTAGTTAAAGAAAACTGTCTAAACAAGGATTTGTTTTTACCTTTGATTATCCCATAGGTTGCTATGACCAGAGAAAAATTTCCAGAGAAGATTCCATTTAGACTAACAAGAATGTTGACCAACGCTATGGAGGTGAGTGGATATTGGGAACACACTGCACTGAAATGGGACCAACACAGTTTCCACCTTCTCTAAAGACAGACTTGCTCATTAGAGCTCATTAGTTCCCCAGCATGGCCACGTGACTTCTGTAGCAGGTTCCTGTTGATTCTCACGTATTAGGAGTGGTCTTTGAAAGTCTCACCACTTCACATCAGACCTGGTGTCATATGTATCACAGTCCTGCCATGCTTCCTTCCTAGGTGATGGTGACAGATACTCTATCACTGTTGGTCATGAGGCACCAATGACTCCTGAGGTGCAATGCTCTGTCCCTTCTCCAGGTTACAGGTCTAGATGGCAACTACAGAATCACATGCCACACGGTGATGGAAGTGCTTCGGGAGCACAAGGACAGTGTCATGGCTGTACTGGAGGCCTTTGTCTATGATCCCTTGCTGAACTGGAGGCTGATGGACAGTAAGTGTGTTCAAGTATGGGAGGCTAGGGTTTGCATCCTTCCAAATTAAGAGTACCTGCCACATTACATTCCACTGACCTGTTCCTTTGAGCCTGGAGCCTGAGCTGTATTACCAACTATTGCTTTCTCTTCTCCTAGAGCACTCAGGTAGCTAGAAAAGAATTTCAAGTATTTTTAATAGCTAAACTGGAAAACTCCAATATTAATTGAAATAATGGGCTGGGTGTGGTGGCACACACCTGTAATCCCAGCGGCTCAGGAGGCAGAGGCAGGAGGATGGTGAGTTCAAAGCCAGCCTCAGCAATTTAGCAAAGTACTAGGCAACTCAGAGAGACCCTATCTCTAAATAAAATACAAAATAGGACTAGGAATGTGGCTCTGTGGTCGAGTGCCCCTGAGTTCATTCTCTGTACCAAAAAAAAAAAAAAAAAAAAGAATTTTTTAGGATAAACTTAGGTACCTAGTGATAAGCTGATTTGGATAAGCTGGAATTTTAATAAAAATGTGAACAGTTGTAACTTGAGACTGCAGTATCTATCGTCTAGCCTGTTTCTGCCTCCTTTGAGGATGTTTCACCAATATGAGGCTTCTAATCCACTGTGATTAAATCAGACTTTGACCTTACAGTTTCCATATGATGCTGTAAATCCAACTCTACAGTATAGAGTGTCCTCCCGGATGTCCTATTCCATGCTCACAACCCCTTTTACTACTGAGTAATATTTCTTTGTTCTTTCTTCAGAATTGTACCTTTTGGGAAAATCTCATTTTTGAAATTGTAAGCAAGTATATCAACCAAGTTTCTTCAAAGTGAAAGTCTGAGGCACTTTTAATTCTTTCTTTCCCTAGCAAATACCAAAGGCAACAAGCGGTCTCGAACGCGGACAGATTCCTACTCTGCAGGTCAGTCAGTAGGTGAGTGTACCCAAGGAGCTGAGCATCTGAATGGGGAGACATTCCTTTTGCTGGAAGGCAAGATTCAAAGTGGTTCTGGCTGCTTAATATTAAGGATGTCAGCATGCTTTTCTCAAGTTCTTGACAGTGATAGCACAGGCAGAGATGCTACACTGCTAACATCACCCCACAGGCATTGTTGAACTTCAGAAACATGGTCTAAAAATATTTACCAAGCACTAACTTGTTTTTTGTTTACTATCTAGCGGGATGGAGTAGGTACCTCAAGCTCCAAGATTTTTATCATCTGATTCTAATCTGTCTATAAAAACAGTTAAAAGTATGTCTGAATATCAGCCAGTGTTGAGCAAGCCCTTCAGCAGTGTCAGGTGGGGATTTTCACTCCTCACATRTTTTGCTTTGTTTTGTTTTGCTCCGCTGGGGATGAAACCTAGGGCCTCAAGTGCTCTACCACCAAGCTATGCCTTCCGCCCCTGAAGCATTAATAATAGTTCTAAAAGGGAGGTAGAAGCAGCAGAAATCTGCTTATATCTCTGAAAGGAGCCCTGAAATCATGGGAATCACTGTTTCCATGTGTGTCCTTCACAGGCGGTAGTCCAGGAAGACATGTGGCCCTCCAAGAGCCAGAGTACCTTTTGTATATTAAAAACACAGAAGTGTTTGAGTCAGGTGTTTAGCTCTGTTAGCTTTTTTTTTTTTTTCCTTTCTCTCTCTTCCCCTACCCTTTTTCTTTGACATCTAACAACATCCTACGAAGTTCACACTTTGAAATACACTGTTGGGTACAAAAATATTCTCTACAAATACCTTATGGGACATTTGCAACTAGTAACTTAACTAAACCAAATAAATTAAGGAAGGTAATATACAAACAAAGGCTGTCCTGCATATGTGCAGAATCTAGGGAAGGTAATATACAAACAAAGGCTGTCCTGCAGATGTGCAGAATCACATTATTGAACTGACCATAATATACTTGACATTATAAGAGAACTGGGCTGGCACGCACGAGGACCAGCATTCAGTCCCCAGTACTGGGGATAAAAAAAAAGAGAGAGGGGGAGAGACTGACATACTCTGTTCAGACCTCAAGCACCCGTATATACTACGGTTTCAACGAGAAGTGGCGTGGGGCTAGGCACAGTGGCGCACACACACACTGTGGTCCCAGCAACTCAGAAGGCCAAAGCAGGAGGATTGCAAGTTCCATGCCAGCCTCAGCAATTTAACGAGACCTTGTCTCAAAATAAAAAGCACCAGGGATATAGCTCAGTGGCAGAGCACTCTTGGATTCAATCTGAGTTCTAGCAGTTAAGGGGCACTTGGGCAAAAGGCATTAACAACCACCTATCTAGAAAAAGGACAATTCATCCTGACTGAATGGAAAGACTCTCGTCAGATAAGAAGGAACAGGGTTTTGCTGATTTACAGTGTCACATGTGAACAAATGTGGACTATACCCTGGACACTGTAACAGGATTTGTGAGGATCCCCAACCACGCCTGCCCCTACGGTGCTGGGGATGRAACCCAGGGCCTGGTACACATTCAGCAAGTGCTCTACCACTGGCTACTTCTACAGCCCCGTGACAGGATTATGGATACTCAGATTGCCCAGCTTCCTATTACCTACAGCCTTTGGGGTCCCTTGTGCAGATTTCAAAAGGTTTTAATACATGAAGAGTAGCATAAAGCTCTGTCCTCCACCTGAGACAGGAGAGGCACATAGTTAAGGATTGTGGAGCATAGGGCCATAGGCGCTGCACTAACAATGACTTCGTGGTTTTTGAATGTTTTGCTAATTGATTTCTTCCCCCTAGAAATTTTGGACGGTGTGGAACTTGGAGAACCAGCTCATAAGAAAACAGGGACCACGGTGCCAGAATCTATTCATTCTTTCAGTAAGTTTAACCTCTGGGGGTTTGTACCAACAACTAGCTCATTAAGAAAATAGCAGCTGTGTTGAACCACGAGTGGGTCAGCAAGACACAGTAACAAAACGGCCTTTGAGAGGAAAGGTTCCATGATCTCATTACATTCTGAGGACAGAGGTGGATACAGAGGAAGGATTGCTCAATGCTCAAAAGCTGAATGTTTACAAAAAGCAGGAGCATTTTTTTTATCTATTCTGATGACAGTTCTTACTGTTAATTCCTACTTTTTATATTCCAGTTGGAGACGGTTTGGTGAAGCCAGAAGCCCTAAACAAGAAAGCTATTCAGATTATTAACCGGGTTCGCGATAAGCTCACTGGTGAGTATGTGTGTTCTCTTAAACGGAAYATAAAGTCTGAGGAGACAGTCCCCCCCTCCAGTGGGTAGGCAGCCCTGCTCTGGGGGCTGCACGCCTGTTTCGACCCTGTGTGGCTCACAGACTACCTCTATGGCCAGCACTGGAGCACGCCCTATGGGTCTTCTTGCTAATGATTGATACCACCATCACATAACTCTGCCTCATTTAACTCAGGATGTAGGAAGTTCTGTGTGCTCCAAAATCAGCCAAATTTAGGGAGATGTCTTCTGTCACTATGGTGTGATGTTAGAGCACTTGGACTGACCACCTAGATTCTGGCAACCATTACAGAGGGGAGAGAATAGAATGGAGAGAGAGTGCTTTTGAAAAGGAGTTTCTCACACTGATCATCTTCTGTTGGGAGGCTATGACATGGAGGGTAACAAACCAGGAAGCAAAACTCCAGCTCCACTGCCTGTGCCTGAGCCTGTTTCCTCCTATAGAAGATGCTGAGTGGCCCCCTCAGAGGGAGCTGAGAGTCAGACGAGACACAGGATGCTGGGCACTGAGTATTGGAGTCTCCCACCTAAATTTTTGAAGTCAGGGCATTTTTATCCAGCACGTACCTGATGCTGAAAGGGCCAAGGTGGTGGAAACAGGTTCTTCACCTCCAGGGAGCTTAGAGTCCAGAAAGGAACAGTATTACTAAATAGAAAAGACTTGGGGCTGTGGTGCCCACAATAGGAGAACTTAATCAAGTTCAGAAGTACAGGGAAAGCGCTGGGGCTGTAGCTCAGTGGTAGAGCACTTGCCTAGCACACATGAGGCACTGGGTTTGATCCTCAGGACCACATAAAAATAAATAAAATAAAGGTATTGTGTCCATCTACAGCTAAAAAATATTTTAAAAGAAAAAAAAGTGCAGGAAAAGCTTCCCTAAGGAAACAACCCATGAGCGATACTCTGAAAAAGGAGCTAATTCAGAGGACACTGTTGCAGGCACGGGGAACAGCACGTGCAAGTGGGCGATGGAGAGAAATATGGTCCAAGGGCAGGCCAGAAACGCAGTGTAGGAGGAGCACAGAGCACACCAGGCAGAGCTTGGGCCTCTGTTTCCACCCTAGAGCGGTGGGAAACACCGGCGGGTTTGGCATGGAGTGGGCAGGCCCAGCATGTGTGGCGAGTACTGCCTGCTGTGGCCCGCGGACAGGGCCAGAGGGAGGGTGTGCAGGCACACCAGGGAAGAGGCTGCCTCTGGGTCCAGGTAGATGCAGCACTGATTAGACTCAGGTGGTGGGAGTGGAGCCGGGTGCTAGAGATCTCGAAGAGGTTTTCAAGTCAAAAGGATCAGGCTGAGGATGTAGCTTAATGGAAGAGTGTGTGCCCAGCATGCCTGAGGCCCTGGGTTCCATCCCCAGCGCTGCCAAAAAATCAGAAGTATTGATGTTGGGGCATGAGGGACAACAGGAATCAAGCCAGGTCCAAGTCACGGGTGACCAGCTGAGACCTGTGATGAGTGACAGCCAGACTGAAGCAGCTGAGGAGATGAGAGAGCGAAGGAAGAAGAAGAGAGTGAGGGGTTAAGTACTCTTAAGTAGTTTATGCAGAAAAGCAAGAATTAAAGGGCAGCCAGAGCCATGATGGGGGCAGAGCTGCACCCCTGGCCCCAGCTGTTTTCCTTCAGTGAGAGAGGAACASGCTTACAGAACATGGAAAGGGGGCAGTTAGGTGGAGTTGAACTAGCAGGGTGGTTGCTGCCTACAACCCAGAGATATGGGAAGCTGAGGCAGGAAAGTCACAAGTTCAAGGACAGACTGGGCAACTTAGATCCTGTCTCAAAATAAAATCTAAAATTGGCTGGGGATGTACCTCAGTGGTAGAGCACATGCTCTCATGCACGAGGTTCTGGGTTTGATCTTCAGTCCTACAAAAAGAAAGCAAGAAATACAAGAAAGAGGGGCTGGGGATGTGGCTCAAGCGGTAGCGCGCTCGCCGGGCATGCGTGCGACCCRGGTTCGATCCTCAGCACCACATACCAACAAAGATGTTGTGTCCGCCGAAAACTGAAAGAAATAAATATTAAAAAAAAAAAAAAAAGAAATACAAGAAAGAGAACAGATAGTCCTGCCAGGCTCCTGAGAAAGCATTAGCCTGAGTGAGGTGGCGGAGCAGTAGTGTCAATGTCACTAAACACTCAAGGTCACTCCAGGTGAACTGGGCTGCATGAAATAATCACATAGAGACAGAGAAATASCATTTTCTTTGGGTCCTGTGACGGCTCCTCTGACCTTAGGGGTCAGTGGAAAGAGAGAGAGGAGCATGTGCTGACCCCTTTTTTGGGGAAGAAGGCATTCAAATGAGGCAAGGGGTTAGGTTTCAGGGGGTTGAGTCTAGCTTGATGATGTCTGCTGTCAGCAAGTTGACTGACATCTAGGMGGCCATGCCCATCACATGAGCTGCGAAAGACGAGAGCAAGGCCTGCCCAAACAGAGGGCAACGTCGGTTCAGTCCACTTTGTGCGCTCAATGCTCATAGTTCACACATAGCCCATGGCTGGCTTGCCCCATCTCCACATTCTCACTGCTCAAGGCATAGGGGTGCTCCTCCCAGGCGGTTGGGGGAGCAGCTTATGTGAGCTGAAGCCAGCTGCACAGCTCCGCAGACATGACCTCACACATCAGCAGGGTCTGGAGCTGCTCGTGATGGTTAATTACCTTAAAAGTGGAAGGTGAGGGCATCTGCTGAGGGTGAGAAACAGGAGGAGGGGTTCCGGTGTCAGCGAGGAGAAAGAACTTGAGGTGGCCCTTATGGAAGTGGAAAGGCATGTCACCAAAGAAGTGCCCTAGGCCAGCCATACTGCACAGAGCGCTTGTTTGAAGCTGAGATTATGAATCTGCGATGGAGGTTGCTGTTCAAAACTGGAGGCTTGTGGATTTCAAACAGAACAGGCTTTTTGGTGTGCCTGTTCAACCCAAAAAAGGATTTTGGGATAGATCCCTAGGCCAGATCCTGGCCACTCCTGAACTTAGCTGACTGCAAGACTTTGTCTTCCCTGAACCGAGCCTATACTGACACAAGACAGTGTGCCCTCAGGTCAGCTGGAGATGGGTTTTTAAAAGCAGTCATGATGCATCCTTCAAACTCACGTGTGAGGTTTGACTGATAGCGGCTGCTTAGACTCTTGAACAAAACAGCAGACAAGGGACCTGTCAGTGCCAGGTGCTGATGGCTGTGTTGCTCTTTCTCCTGTGCCAGGTCGGGACTTTTCCCATGATGATACCTTGGACGTTCCAACGCAAGTTGAGCTGCTCATCAAACAAGCAACATCCCATGAAAACCTCTGCCAGTGCTACATTGGCTGGTAAGTGGGCATCTCAAGGATGCATTGTTAAAATCAGCAATGAGGACCCCAACTGTGGCCCCAAGCCTTGGGAGCAAAAGCAGATTCAGTGGGGAAACCACAGGGCAGTGACAGGTTGATCCTTTAAGAGCTGGTATTCACTGTTTGTGCCCCTTGTTCCATAAGGAAGAAAACTGGGAGTTGCAGATGCACATTCAGAAGGCAGCCACCAAAATAAGTTACAGTTGCACAAAGAGCAGTGGTTTGGAACAGCAGGGCTGCCAGCTGGCTTGTTTGTGGGGGCTCTTTTGAATTTTTGCCATCACTTCAGGAAGGGCATAGGAAAGAAGCTAGAGCAGTGACCGGAAGAAGATGAAGACACATTTATGATCTGCATGTGGCCTGAGGGACTATCCGGGTTTCCTTTGATTAACTGCCCAAGGCACACTTGAAGGCAGAAACTGGAGAGAGGGCAGCAGGGAATGTCCTTGTGAGACCTTGACTGTAGAGGAGTGTGTCCCACACGATTAAGCGTGAGAGAGTCCAGGGAATGCTGCAGGGTTGTCAGACCTTGGTCTTTTCATTTTCAAAGCATCAGGGTTGAGATTTGAAGAAGCTCAGGTTACTGAACCATGTGTCTCTGCCTTTGCTGTCTCCCTTCCTAGGTGTCCCTTCTGGTGACGGGAGGCCCACTATGCCCACAGTATCTCCCCTGAGGCTTTCATACTTGGTCCACACTTCACCAAACTGAAACTATGGTCAAAAGTTTGTTAATATTTTGAAATGTAAATGAAAAGAACTACTGTATATTCGAAGTTGGTTTGAACCAACTTTCTAGCTGCTGTTAAAGAAGATATTGTCAGAAACACAGGGCTTGATGCGGCTCCCAGGACAGTGAAACACAGTAATACTACACGATCAAGCCATCGACTCTGGGGAACAGAAGATCCATAACTTCAGAAATACGGGTTTTGATTTCACTCACAAGAGAGCTAAAATGTCTGCTGACAGAGGTTGGCCTGGCCGCTCCTCTCAAGGTGGGTCCAGCGACTCRGCACAGTCAAAAAGGCTGGGGCAGTGGAGAACACGGATCAGGGTCCTAGACTATGAAGAAGCAGAAGTTCCTCCCTTTACCTCACTGGTCCCTGGACAGCAGTGGCAACATGTGCAGGACAAGCCAGGACAGGTCGGTGTTCTGCCTGACCCAGTGCTGCTGCAGCTCACACTTAACCCAGACCAGAACTGCCAGTAGGGCAGTCTGTGCAGGTGCCTGGTAGTTCCCACACATTGGGGCCCAGGCTGGCCCCGTGTTCAGTGAGATCTGAATGCGCTGTRTTTGAAGCAAGGGTTTAAAACACAAATGCTATCACAGATGTGCTGAACACAGAGGGACAGGCTAGGTTGTGTGCAGAATTATGAGCAACGTAAATATTTGACTAAATGCACAAAGTATAGGATGTAGCCACGTCTAGACACCATGTTGTATCTGAATAATTTTTGTGCCAATAAATGACATCAGAATTTTAAAAACATGTACATGAGCAGCTTTTTATTCATAATTATTAGTAAATTCAAAAAGGAAGCAGAGGGTTGGTTGGGGATGTAGCTCAGCATTAGAGTACTTGCCTAGCATGTGGGAAGCCCTGGCTTCATATCCTGGCAYCACAAAAGGGGAGGGGGGCACAGTTAGTATGAGAGGAGTACAACGAACACGAGGATGTATGTGACGTGATCCGTTTCTGTGGGGTATCCTGCAGCAGAACTGAGAATTCTACCCCCCGCTAAGTGATAAGAGGAGCCATACACAGAAGCACTAATTCTGCCAGAATACCAGGAAAGCCTCATGGAAAAGTGCATGTTGGGACAGCTCAAGGAGGAGTGGGATTTTGTCAGGTGACGCACATGGGGACAGCCTTAGCAGGAAAGGAAGCGCAAGATGCTGAGGTGTGTAGAAGCATCATATCTGCAGCAAAGGCAAGTGTTAACCTGACCCATATGGAGCTGCGGTGTCCAGCCACATTTGACAGAGAAACAGCACGTTCGCAGGGTCAAACCTTATAGCTCAGTATATGTGGCTCAGTGATCAGAAGAGAATAAAAGGAACAACAGGAAGATAAAGGGAAAGGACGCCAGAGAGTAGAGTGGGGCCTCCTCACTGTCCCTGCAAGGCCTCTGGACCTGATGCTGCCAGGTTCAAGGCAGGAGTGAGCAATAGGTGGCAAACASACAGAAGGAAAATCAGAAGGCACGTGGGCAGAGGAAGCTCCTGGAGTAACAAGAGGGGGCATTAAGTAGAGCTGGTCAGCATCCTACAGATGACACATGCACTTTTGGTCTTTTGGGGTTTTTTTTGTTTTTTTAATGGTACAGAAGATCAAACCCAGGGCTCATGTATACTAGGCAAACACTCTATCTCTGAGCTACATACCCAGCCCTACATTCCCTCAAAAGAAAGAACATGCCTAAAGAGAACTTCCAG